CTGACGATGAATGCGGGCAATCGTACCGACGTCAGCCAGTTCATCAAAAGCACCGTCGCGGAGGGCTTCCCGTTGGATGTTCGCACAAATGCCTTTGTGACCAAAATCACTTTCGATCAGTCGGGAGCCACTCCAAAAGCCACTGGAGTTGAGTTTCAAGATGGAGAATATCTTTACCGGGCGAGCCCTCGGAGTCTTCACAGCCGTCCTGGCGTCTCTGGCTCGGCGAAGGCGGCAAAGGAACTCATCATATCTGCCGGTGCATACAATACGCCTCAGTTGCTGAAGCTCAGCGGCATTGGTCCCAAAGAAGAGTTGGCGAAGTTCAACATCCCCATTGTGAAAGACCTGCCAGGTGTTGGCACGAACTTGATGGATCGCTACGAGGTCCCCGTGAACGTCCAACATGAGAAGGACTTTCCCATCCTCAAGGGTTGTACCTTTGACGAAAAGCCACATGATGAATGTCTCAAAAAATGGGAAGACAACCCTTACATTCTCGGCCAGCGTGGAGCATATGCCACGAACGGCCTTGCGGCCACCCTCGCTGTAAACTCGGATTATGCCTCGACTTCGGACATTGATCTTTACATCTTTGGCGGCCCCATCAACTTTCAAGGATATTTCCCCGGTTGGGCGGAGCAAGCTGTCGCGGATCATTCGCACTTCTCATGGTATACCCTGAAGGCGCACGGACGGAATCGCGCCGGCACCGTAGAGTTACAATCTACAGACCCTTTTGACCAGCCTCGGATCAACTTCAACTACTTCGATACAGGTACTACTGCGGGTGGTGCAGATGATCTCGACGTGGGTGCAATTGTCCAAGCAATCAACATTTCCCGAAACGCATTATCCGAGTACTACAACTATGGTATTCTGGGCGGCTCGCCTTTTGAGGAGGAAAACCCGGGCAAAGATGTTACAGGCGATGAAGATCTAGAGCAATACGCGAAGGACGTCGCTTGGGGTCATCATGCATCTTGTACAGCTGCGATTGGGGGGGAAGACGACCCAAATTCCGTACTGGATTCGCAGTTCCGGGTGCGCGGCGTCCAAAATCTCCGTGTCGTCGATGCTAGTATCTTCCCTGACATCCCTGGTGTGTTCATCACGGCCCCGATCTACATAATCAGCGAGAAGGCGGCGGATGTGATTTTGAACGGCTCGAAGTGAGCAGATATGTTCCTGTTGTATATTTTTGGATACAAACACGGAGGACTTTCGATGGGATTCAAGATCCCAGTTGTACGGATCTAACTACCTTATGCCTTTCTGATCTCTAGTTAGTAGCCTGAGATACCTTTCTAATTATTATTATCTCGTTGTTAGAGCTTTCCATTAACATGTTGTATTCTACGGGATTAGGCCCTCGCAATTTTTGTTGGCCCAATACCATAAGGAGCTTGCACAGAGATTAGGGGCAGATGCGGCTTAACGGCTTGAGGTTTAGATGATATCGAAGGACTAGATGGATATGTCAAGGAACAGCGAGTATTGCCCCAACTTTGTGTTGAATAAGCAGAGATACAGGATTTTCCCTACCGAGAGAACCTGCGTTAGGCTAATTGCACCATCGCCGCCATAAATTTGTAGCATCGCTTCTTGCGATGATCAACACGGTAAAATCATGTATCTAGGTGCATAGGTATTGACACCAATGTAACGTCGTACAGCCTAAATATCGTGGTAATGAATTCTACATGGAAGTTTTCTGCGCTAGTATCTACAGATTCGCGCTAGTGTCGGGATCTTCACATCAAATTTTGGAAGTTAACTGCGCGCGTATTATGCCTCTTATTTCTACAACATCAGGTGTCTATCACGTCTCTACGTAGGTTGCACTAGGGTGACGATCTACAGCGCTAGAGCCTACCGGCATGCAGTCCCCCAACTCCACCTGCCAAATTAACAAGTGCAGATCGGTTCGTATGTGGTATTAAGGTTATCGCCCCACCTATCACGTCAATTCTGGTGCCATGGAACAATCCCAGGTACTTGCTGAAGATCGTCGGTGAGGCTGACTTTTTCTCGCCCGATAGAGCTTTCTCCGCCAAACGTGGGGCTTGATATCCCTTCCTGCTGCTGCTTACGTCCAATCACGCGCAGCTTATCGTCAGCAATATAATTTCATTCGATCTGTATCCAGTGGCATTGTGCAATAAAACCCTTTTCTGATGTTCTTTCGCACTAACATAGCGACAGTCCAATATCGGTTGATCTTCATCATTGCCAGATACTTGGGGTTTTGTCTAAGGGGGTGCGAACGGGAAGAGATGGTGCGAAAACCGCTGATGCAATACTCAATTTTAAATGCTCATACAAACTAGAATTCGGTCTTCTCCCTTCTGGTGCCATTCGGACGCACTGTATATATATGGGAAGCCCCACGAAGCCCAATCAATACTTTCTTAACTGCAATCGACTCCTTACTTTCCTTGCTCTTTGACCATGAAGCTTTTACCTACTCTAGCTGCCTTGGTGACGGTGGGCTTGGCCTTCCCAGTCATTGATAACCTCGATGCCGACGCCCACCAGAAAGCGGGCCAGCTGGCCGCGCGGACTCTAAAGATTCTCGAAGAAGAGAATTTTCAACCTGTGCGGCGCTCGGCGCTTCCGCTTCCTGAGGACGCGTTGGGTATCAGCCGAGCGGAAACAAACTGCGGGCCCACGATCCCCTGTCCTTACTTTGATGCCAAGGACCAGTATGTGTCGGTGGAAGGCGAGTACGCTTATGCTGCCCCTGCCCCAGATGAAATCCGCGGGCCTTGCCCTGGACTCAATGCCGCGGCCAATCACGGCTACTTGCCTCGTTCTGGAACCGCTACAATTGAGGAGACTGTCCGTGGTCTCAACAAACGTAAGAAAGTTCTCTCGTCTGGTCTTTGATGATTTTGACATGACCGGAAATATCTAGTGTACAACCTGGGAGTTGAGCTGGGCGCTGTCCTTGCCGCGTACGCAATTGTGATTGACGGAGATCTCGCCGGTGGATCGTGGTCTATCGGCGGTCCGCAACAGTCCGATCCTCTCACACCTTTCTTCGGAAATGGCCAGGGTCTTTCCTACTCTCACAACAGCTACGAGGGTGACGGCTCAATTGGACGCCTAGACGCTTTCACAAACAACGGTGACGCCCACTCACTTTCCATCGAGAAGTTTGAGTCCGTCTACAAAACTGGTGGTGATGACACCTCCGAAAACGGATTTGATCAGCGCTTTACCATCGACAAGTTCCGAGCCCAATACCAGGAGGTCCAAAAACACTCCATAGCCACAAACCCGTACTACTTTACCGGTGCCTTCTCTACTGTGGTGGTTGTGCCAGCAGCGTATAACTTCGTCATTAACTTCATGTCTAATCACTCGGAGGAGGAGCCATCCGGATACTTGGTACGTCGCTCCATGTGTGAAAAAGTGACCATCATCTAACAGCCAGTAGGATGGCTATAACTTCAAACAATTCTTTGGCGTAACTGGCAAGCCTGGCTCTTTCGTCTGGCACAAAGGACAGGAACGCATTCCCGAAAACTGGTACAAGCGCCCAACTATTTCGCCTTACGGCCTGGCCGACGTGGCAGCAGATGTTGGTATTGGATATCTCGCATATCCCGAGACTCTGAGATTTGGCGGAAACACCGGAACAGTCAACTCATTCACTGGCGTCGCCGTTGAGGACCTCACTGGTGGTGTTTTGAATGCCAAGACCCTGTTTGAAGGTGACAACTTTGCATGCTTCATTTTCGTTCTTTTGCAACAGGGCATTCCCCATTTCCTCAAGGGGCCGTTGGACGCTATCAACAGCGCGACCTCCTTCTTTGATCCATTCCTGACTCCAATTCTTGGTAAGCTCGAGTGTCCCGAGCTTGGAAACTTCGATCAGAGTCTGTTCAACCAATTCCCGGGCTATAAATACAGTCCAACGGGGCCGGCCACCAACTATTAGACTTGGTTTGCTTCTTGAGTCGACAGGCTCCCAAGTCTACTCATACCGCTCGTTGCCTTTTAAAGAGGAAGATTACAGGTAGTAATAGGAGGAATTAATTTCAGGGGGTGGTGGTTGATGAGATAATAATAGGCACTTAAATATCGCAACTTCTTTCATCTTTTTGCTTACTTTATGCCCATGCACCTTGCTCGTTTATTACATGTCTCTCTTGTCTCTCCTTTCTACATTCCATATTCCCCTCGTAAGAGAAATGCAAGACTTGTGCAACTTCAACTTTCGCTACACATCGCCACTGTTTGGGTTAATTTTCCACCACACGCTACATTATGTTGTGCTTGTCACGACATGGTCTGAGCTGGATTCGAACTCGGTTCGTGTAGTGTTTTTTTAGTAGAATCTGAAAGAATTGTCGTGGTAACAATGCAAATTACATCGTCTCTTCCACCGCAGACCCCTCCACGGTATTCGGTACTCCCTACGCGCGGCTGCCTAAGCCAAGCCATCACGGTTACAGCTTTAGGGACACTCACATCAACCCTAGCGAACATATCATATAGTAGTACCTCGGTGATCTATAGTCTTGCTCTCAGTAGCGACAATTATTTCATCCTTGTTTCATCTATAGTGGCGATGATCTAGATGGTGTAGTCTCATTTATATAATGCTACAAGCAACGAGGTATCCAGGGTACAATAGCTTAATGTCACCAGCAACCTAAGGCATCTGGTGGTATCACCGTAAGGCTCGTATATCTATAGGGGATCGGTGCTAAGTTAGCATCCAAAGGGTGGTGTCTGTATCAATGACCTAAATATATATATCGCACGGCATCTTTGTCTAAACAGGACTCGAGAGGCCCGCTCAATCTATCATGTCAGTTCCTTTTTCAGCTCTACTTCTAATCAACCAACAATCTCACTGATCATGAAGTCTTCAACAGAGATGGCGCAGGGAGATAATGATATGAGATCTCGCCAAAGCGTGATTTATTACGCTAATATGATGTTGCGAAGCATCGTTCAGTACTAAGCAAACGGCAATCACCATTCCGTCAGGTAGCCTCCGGAGTGGGCGCAGCCAGTCCCGACGAAGGAAGCGCCGGAGTAGCCGGGGTGCTGCTCGCCTCCGCCATGCCCGTTGGTCGCGACTCTAGTCCACCTACCAGCGGCACTAGACTAACCGGTGGAATATACCAGGATCGATGACAACTGGTCCACCGACGATCAACCTGCGTCATGACGTCTGGCATCTCGAGCCAGGGAAGATAGTCATCACGAATCATGCTACAACCACCGCCTCCGGACACACACTGAGAACCACCAAGGTATTGCTCCCAAGGGATCAAAGACATCGTATAATTTCCGACCTGATGCTGTTGAAATTCAGCCAAATTGAAAGGATATGCGGTTCCGATTTTGGGGTATTTCGCGTTGATATGGTTACGGTAAGATGTAATCGCTTCCGGATTGACAGAAATGATCACATTTTCATGATCATCGCCGCATGGGCCACCAGGGTGGGCGCGCTGGTTACTCCGCGCGTAGATGCTGGTAAAGGAAACATAAACGCTTGGGGAAATGAACGTATTCCCGTCGACAACGGCGGTATTGGGGCCATCTCCCGTCGGCGTGGCAGGGATGGTGCTTCCATTCTGCAGACAGAGACCTCCACTGGTGGTCACCGGCCAGTAGAAGAGGGTTGCTGTATCCGGGAGATAATGACAATTATTGCATGCATCAGGATCAGTATAGTCTCGCGTTGTAGACGGACAGCTTTCCGGTCGGATTGGACTGTTGCTGTCTCCAGGTACTTCAGTTGTGACAGAGGACTGATAGGCGTTCGAAAGACTGGTGTAGGTCTGCCAGATGGGAATGCAATCCTGGGTATTTAGTTTACAGCTAGGAGTCGGTGAAGGTGATCGATAGACCAATGTAGTGCTAGTCTCGGTGAGCATGAAGGAACTACATGGTCCTGTACCTGGCCAGTAGTCGGTTATAGATTCTCGAGGACCTAGGGCGCGTGCAACCCCATCACAGAGCGTGGTAACTGGGCCGGTATGTGTATCATGGAGACCTTCGCCCCGGACTTCAGAGTTACAAGCCCCGGTGCTAGTGACATAGGATGAATAAAGAGTGGACGTGGATGTTGCACCTAGGGACTCTAGCCCACTAGCGCGTCCGCCATATTCGACCCATTCGGCATTGCAGGAGACGGCAGATGCCTTAGGGCCGATAGTCGGGCCGTAAAAGTAGTTGGTCGACGTTGGCCAGAAAATAGTCGTGTCGCATATGCTTAACCACTGGCTACTTGTGGACAGGCTGGTGCACCTATCAGGCCCATCGGACTGGAGTCCACTGGTAGTAGGGGTTGCAATAGTGTCCAGTCCTGGAATAACTGCGGGGGTCTGGTTTAGATCTGAGTTGAGGGACCTTAAAAAGAAAACATACCTGGTTTGGCAGACGCTCCCACGAAAAGGAGAAGGGCTATTCCGGACACCATCTTACTCTCAAATTGAAAGCGTAGGGGTGATAGAGAGTTAAACGAATGAAGCTGGGTAGTAGTATCGGGCTGTTACTGGCGACTTTATATCCTGAGTAGGGGCTCCTACCCTTCAGAGCAAGATGCTCTAAAATCTCCGCTTGGCTCGAGGATACGGCTACTATAAGCAATCGGCGGCCATTCGCTTTGTTTCAAGTAAGCTGCATGAGATGTGCAGATGTTCCATGCAAATGTCACCCCAAGGGGGCTGGATGGGACCCTCAGGAACCAGGCGTGCCTGCTCAACCGCGCACGGGCTGATTATCCACATATGCCAAGTCCTTCAATACGACGATTACTGCGCTTCGCCCAAGAAACAGTCACGTCCTGGTGGGCTGTTCAAATTTATAAGAGTTGCGAAAGGAGCTACGGAACAAGACCGGCGACGCATTGAACAGCGAGTCAATCCTGCTAGGAGGCTGTAGAGGAATCTGGAGAGGTAAGCTTGGCAAAGCCTCGCGAGCCAAGACGGTTGAAGCCGTATTAGACTTGGCGGAGGCTGATGAAAGCCAATTCTACTGCTGATTATTCTCCCCCATTGCGTTCCCCGCCCCCCATCAAGACCTCGCTCCTCAGCATGTCTCTCTTCTTCGGCTCTGCTATTGACTACTTGACAATCTTTGCTTCGGGATAACCTGAGCGAGTTACAAAAATCCCGACGAAATCCAGATACCTCGACGCTTCCCTAGTGGGCTGGGTTCCCAGAATCATTGCTATTTTATCGTCACCTCCGTCTACATCATATCGGATGTTTGATGGAAAGAGCTCAAATTTATGGCATTGTGAGTCAAAGAGTAGTGTGTTGGCTGATGTGTATGGCATGATTGGGCGGTATGATCCACATCCGGTCCCTTGCCATCTGCTCATACAACTGCTATGTTATCCATCTCTTACTACTCTCCAGCTTTGTTGTCATATCACATTAAAAGGCGACAGTTACTCGAGGAATTAGGGCTTCAAAGCCTACAAATTATTGCGATCTCATCGATCGTGCACGTGACCGAACCATTGCGTAGGACCTGGCTCATACGTAATTTCCTCACCTCCCTCCGTCAACATCCTGGATCCTAGGATCAGTTACATCTTTCAGAATGATCGTTACGTGTGACACAATCTATTATGTGTGTTTAATCACCCCGATCTGCCTAGCAAGCTCCATGTCAAACGTGTTTCCAATGCACAGCGAAGAAAATAGTTGCGAGAACATCGAAGGGGCAACCATCTTACCCACGTCCACAATGAACAGAAGCTTTTCATAAAATATGGTATCACCATTTGCGGAGGGCAAAATCATCAATTCGTGTGATCAGATCAGTGCAAGGTCTCGTTCCGCTATTCGCATTCCTTAAATTTAAATGTATTGGCACTTCATTAAAATTGGCATCGGAGGCTCTGACCGACCCTCCCCCGCAAATTTCGCCGAGAATTCTCCCGATGCTTAACCTGCGCAACAGGTTGCTTTTCGCCTAGCTCATCAACCTAACCCTTGCGCAGTTGAGATGACGAGACCACGAGCCTGTGATGCATGCGCTATCCGCAAGGTCCGATGTACTGGCAAAATACCTTGTTCAAATTGCACAAGGGCTGGCTTCAAATGTGCATTCATGAAAAAATGTGGGAAATCAGGCCCGAAAGGACCTCGAAAAAGCACTTTGGCGAGGATCAACAAGCAATTGCAGAGCCTGAATAATAACCATGCCGAAAAAGAGCTATCGGTACTGCATAGTGGGAACCGTGAATCCGGCATTCCATTTCATTCGGCCTCCTTGTCGGCACTCGAATGGAAGTCAGCCATCGCATTCAGCGTTGTTCTGACGTATTTAGAGATATACAATGAGCGAATGTACCCAGTGTGGCCAGTAATTGACATTTTGCGGCTCAAGACTGCACTCCAAACCAACCCAAATGATTGCGAAATGTGCTCTTTAGCTTTTGCACTTTGTGCAAGTACCGGTGCCAGTCTACAGCTGGACCTCGCTACGAGCCAAGGGAACCACTCCTCTGTTCCGCATGAACGAGACGCGATGGCATTAACGGACCGATTTGCGGCTGAAGCGGAGCGATACCGCTCAATGTATGAATATCGCGAAAGCTCCACACGCGAAGCTATTCTTGTGCCTTTGTTCCTTCACATATATTATGGCACAAAGTCAAAAAGGCAGACAACATCGCTGCTACTACGAGAGTCAGTCACACTGTGTCAGTTGATAGGACTCGACAACGAGGAGACATATCGTGGCTTGAATACTGAAGAAGAAAGTTACATGCGAAGAACTTTTTGGCTTTTGTATGTCACAGAAAGAGGACATGCAATGCAGCATGGCACTGGTACTTGTCTTTCAGAGTCTATCAGTCTACCCTTGACAGACAACCATAGCGAGCCTCAGGTACTGCAGGCTTTCAATAGCCTTGTTCATCTTTTTGTATCGGTTGATGGTGTTCTCATAGATGCCAACATTTGCACCGGGACACAAAAGCGAAGCTGCAGCAGAGAAACTCTCTCTCGCATACAAAATGAGCTCTGCCAGCACCGTCAATGGCCTATAGAATGGAATGAGTTACAGAGGAGCGATGTCTCTATCACCCAGCAGTGGCTACGTATGCTTGTGTGGCAGCTCTCATTGAGAAATGTCTCCATGTCAAGCGAACCGACTGATGATAGCATGTCTTTCATATATCCAGCCCATGTGTCAAGGGATGCATTGCAGTCCATCTCGACTGTTTCTATGGATGCACTTGTTGCTCACGGCCCAGGAATGGTAAGATCTTGCATTGCTTGCAGTCTGGCTTTGGTATTGACAAAAATATTAGCAAATTAAACTGTGCGATATTACAAACACATTGCTAGACGTGATTACCTGTGTCCACTCGCTCTCCCCTGATATATTTGTTCAGACTCGCCAAATACTCCACGAGTTCTGCTGTTATCTTGCCCGATTGAAGGGGAGTGACGGCAGTTTGAACTGGCTTCAAAAGAGAATAGCTGAAGCTGGCGTTCCCCTGCAGCCTGCCTTTGAGCTCCAAGCTTTATCTGGTGGGGCCAACGAGACTCCCTATTCCATGAACGAACGCATAGATGAAGTCGATTATGATAGTGATGAATCATATCAAATTTAATACAAAGGCTCTTTCACACTCAGCTATTTTTCACACCCGAAGGCAACTTTGAGATCGATCGTCAAGTACCACAACAGCCTCGAACGGGCCCAAGGTGATTTTTCCACCGGTGCTTTTCATCGATTTGCGCGTCTCATAGTTTCCCACCAGAATCGTCCCATTTGCAAGAGTCGGTGATACCTGGCTATTAACAAGCCAAGTCACCTCGTTTGAGGAGAAGTTTGTGATCACTACCACAGTAGCCTCGTCAAAGCACCTTGAATACACAAACAGATCATCGTGGCTCTCGTCAATAAGAGTGAATGATCCATACACAAAGACGTCCACCCATGTCTTCCGCAGACTGAGGATCTTTGCCCAATATTGGAAAATGCTGGATGGGTCAGAAATTTGAGAAGCCGCATTCCAACTCTGGTAGTCATTGTTCACATCAATCCAGGGGGCAACAGCCCCAGAGGTGAATCCTGCAAATTTCCCGGGGCCCCATTGCATCGGCAACCGTGCATTGTCTCGCGATTTGAGTCGCATTTCCTTCAATGTCTGCTCATGCAGTTCCGGCTTTTCCCGAACGAACTCGTTCCAAAAGTTGATGGCCTCGAGATCTCGGAATTTTTCAATACCCCAAGATTCCGGAATATTGACCATCCCCAGTTCTTGACCCTGATACAAGAACGGCGTTCCACTCTGCAGACCCAGAAATGTGGCTAGCATCTTCCCAGACAGATCGCGGTATTCTGGCTCCGCCGACGCAAATCGAGAAATGCTTCGTCCCTGGTCGTGATTCTCAAGATATAGCGCGTTCCAGCCATTGTTTTCGTACATAAATGACTGCCACTTCGTGACGACTTTCTTCAAATCTTTGAGACGGAGGTTGCCAGGAGAAAATTTGCCCTCTGCGCCATGATCAAGATCCATGATCTCGAATTGGAATGCCATGCCTAGTTCCTGACGATCGAAGCCCACGGCGTTCAAGATCTCGACTGGATCATAGACAGATGGCATTTCACCAACAGAGAATGCATCGTACTCCTTCAATAATTTCCCAATATCTTGTAGGTATTCATGAAGTCTTGGCCCGCAAGCGTAATATTTCGACCCCTCGGGATATGTCTTGCTCGGATCAACAGGTGCATCGGGGAATTGTTGATCTTTGCTGATAAAATTGATGACGTCCATACGGAACCCATTGACACCCTTGTCAAGCCAGTACCGCATGATTTGATGTACGGCGGTGCGTACTTCTGGGTGCTCCCAGTTAAGGTCTGGTTGTTCGGTCGCGAAGAGATGGAGATAATACTCGTCAGTTTTCTCATCATATTCCCAGGCGGATCCTTTCGCGGTCGTTAGAAATAGTTTATTCTTTCAAGAAAGCTGAAAATCCAAGAACCAAGTCTCAACATACCACCAAAGTAGGAGCCCCAATTGTTCGGTGGCCGCCGTACGCCGTCTGCTGAATACTTAGGCTTCTTCCAAACATACCAATCTCGGAAGTGGCTATCTTTCGAAGACCGCGATTGTTTGAACCATTCATGCTATACACACAGTTGGAACGCTTTTCCCGGAAATGAAAAATAAAGCGGAAATGCAGAAACATACTTGATCAGATGTATGATTCACCACAAGGTCCATGACATACTTCATTCCTCGGGCATGAATGCCCTCGATAAGCATGTCCATATCCTTGAGATTACCATATGGTGGATGAATTTGATAATAATCAGACACGTCATATCCCATATCTACCTGGGGAGACTGTAGAATAGGTGACAGCCAGACGATATCTACACCCAGGGCTTTGATGTAGTCCAGTTCGGAGATGATCCCCGGTATATCGCCGATACCATCGCCATTCGTGTCTTTGAACGATGCAGGATAGATCTGGTAGACAGAGGATTCTTTCCACCAGGTTCTGCTGTTAGCTGTGGATGACTGGGGCTTGGATCCGACTGTCATGGTTCAGGTTAGGAGATATGAAAACAGTGGAAGTGAATAATGTGAAGGGTTTAAAGACAACAATAATGTGATTAAAAGCTACGAAATGCAACAAGTTATATCCAGGTTGAGATGCCAATTCCCAAGATGTAACATGTACTCCGAGAGTCTTCCCGAGAATTTCTCCGAAATTTACCAGCGCCACAACCGACTCAAATGGCGTCCGAGCGCAAAGTGAAAATTATCCTCCCGATAATCCTTCCGAGAAACTAACCAGGAATTTCCCCATGTTGGACTAGCGCTGTTCGATTTGGCGGGTCGGTCTACCCCAGACGAGAATCCGGGGAGGGCTGGACGCGTGGAGAAGAAGAGTGTGGACTCTTGGGCTCCTCATGAACTGAGTTTGTTGCCAACCTGCCGATATCCTCTCACTTGTTACATTTTTGGCGACCAAAGAAATCCCGGTCTCACACATATAAAGGCCGCAATGGTATCTGAAACATCCAACTCCTCTCGATTATCACTATTCCAAGCGACAGACGACATCGTCCATATCTTTGATCTTTTCTTTTCTATACACGAAGATGGTTGCTGCAGGAGTTGTGACCAGCTCAGGTGGAGATGTATACTGTGCTCTATCCAACAACACCAAAGATCGATGGATCAAAGACCCAGGTCTCTGCCGTCTGAACCTAGGTATAGGACTTATGTTCACTTCAGCGGCGGCAAATGGGTATGACGGAAGTCTCATGAACGGCCTGCAAGCTTTGCCTATCTGTATGCTGCCCACACATACCCCATATGAGAACTCGAGCTGACATTGTGTCACAGTCATGCAAGATCTTGGTGATGTCGATTCCAATATACTGGGCTTGATCATCGCCGGTGTCTCCCTTGGTGGAGTACCTAGCTTCATCCCAGCATCATATTTCGCAGACCACTTTGGGCGCAAGAAGTGTGTCGCGCTCGGATCGGCCATCATGGTGGGTGCATCTGTCATTCAATCCGCCACACAAGGTCGATGGGCTTTCTTCGGTACCCGTCTTATAATGGGTATCGGGTTGGGATTTTCGCAAACTGCTGCTCCCCCGTTGACTGCAGAGATTGCTCATCCTCGACACCGCGGCACAGTCACTGCTATATTCCAGTCTGCCTGGTACTTTGGAGCAATCCTCTCTGCTGTTATTACCCTTGCGACCCTTTACCTTTTCAATTCTTGGTCATGGCGGTTTCCTTGCTTGATGCAAGCATTCTTCCCAGTTCTGCAATTGCTTGGGTTGCTTATTGTTCCAGAAAGTCCACGGTGGCTCGTATCACAGAATCGCCGGGAAGAGGCTTTGGATATTCTCGCTCGTTACCATGCCAATGGAGATCGCACAGATGAATTGGTCTTGTTTGAATATCGGGAAATTTGTGAGGCTATCGAATTTGAGAACTTAATGGCCGAGGATAGCGGGTGGGGGGCCTTTTTCTCTACTCGCGGTGCTACCCATCGTTTGATGATTTGCATTCTTGTTGGGTTCATGATCCAGTGGGCTGGGAATGGTATGTTTCACACTTCTTTTGTCATCTGCATTGAAAAGCTTAGTACTAACTTCCGTTTGCCGGATAGGTATCGTTTCATACTACCTCGCACCGATCCTCAAGAACGTGGGCATTACCAACTCAAGCCAACAGGCAGGTATCAACCTCACGCTGCAAATATGGAACGGCATCTGCGCAGTGGGCGGTGCCCTCGCAACGGAAAGATACGGCCGGCGACCACTCTGGATGATATCGACCGCATTAATGCTCGTTTTCTTCTCAGCGGTAACTGCACTATCCGCTGTCTTTGCAGAGAGACACATCAAACCAGCTGGTAGCGCTTCTGTTGCCATGCTGTTCCTCTTCTTCGGTTCATATGCCATCGCCTATACCCCACTGTCAATTGCGTACCCGGTCGAAATCCTTCCTTATCATCTGCGCGCGAAGGGGTTGTCGCTTTGCTTGACGGTAGTCTTTGCTGCTGGGTTCTTCAACCAATATGTCAACCCGATCGCATTTGCTGCTCTGACCTGGAAGTTCTATTTTGTTTATCTTGCCTGTCTTGCCATGTTTTTGATTTTAATCTACTTCTTCTTCCCCGAGACGAAGGGTCGCACCCTGGAGGAGATTGCTGTCGTCTTCGATGGCCCTGCTTCCCATGTGAGCTCTCAGCTCTTTGTGAAGCCAGAAAAAAAAGAATTCATCGATGCTGGAGACTTGAAATCTACCAGCAAAGCACAGATAGAGCATGTTGCCTGAGTTTTCAAGTGCTGTATATCGTTTCGGGAACTCAATCGTACGAACTTACACCGGCTGATCTAGCATTTCAACAAAACTCTAATAGAGTAATGCAACTCGCTCAAATTAAATCCCCACGAGTGAACTTATGAAATCTCAACTTTCTGGAATACAAATGTTACACACAAGCCATATTACACGACTGAGCTTACGCGGAGGACGGAGAGTATGGTTGCCAGCACTGGCTCTTACAACCTTCTTTGCTCTACGAGGAACCCATCCAGATGCTGCAATACACGGAAAACCCTTTCCCAGCGCCTTGTAAGGAGGGGCGTGCTCAGCTGGCTGTGGCGACCGGACTGTCAAATCAGGGCGACGGAATGCACTGAGCCAGCATTGAAATGAAAAACATCGGAGACTCGACAATGGTGGAACAAGCAGGAAGGGAAAGAATAATAAATCTGCTGGCGGAAACTGATCAAAACGAGTGAGGAGAAAGAAAGATTAGAATAAGAGATAGACCCTGGAGAGGCAAACAAAGTTCTATCTAACCTGAGACATCAGACTCGATAACCTTCGAGGTAGATTTCATTGTCCAGGCAAACAATATCAATGCCTTATCGAATCCTCAAAAAAGCAGACAATCATCTACGCCGACCACTCTGCCGCAATTGCAATAGCCACATCCCTGCACACCGTCTCCACAGAAAGACTGAATCGCCGCCTAGTAGGTGCTGCGATGTTCATTTAAACCTTTAACGTCAAAGTGTACCACCGCCTAGGCAAGTCGAACAGGATCGCGGACGTTGTCTCACGACTACCGAGTAAGGCTCCCTCACTAGCGACCGCGAACGATAACCTAAAAACGTACGCTCTAGCAGCAACGACCATGCAGCTAAGCGACGATTTCAAACTTGCCACCCCTCGCTTTATTGGCATCTGTATACAGCAGACCGGTTCTTCGGCATCTCAAACAACCAAGATGCCGATCAGCTTTTCTGTCGCTGTGCGGTCTACAATGTCAACTATCGCTCTACTAGTGCTGCTCCATCTTGACTAAAAGTAACGAGCTTCATCAGAATCACAGGCCCATAAGGGCGAGTCTCTTAGTACAGGTTCTTTTATATGTTCACTAATTAGTTCTGTACTCTCAGGTATTTTAATATGTAATACAATTGGCAAAAGCGAATACTTGTCTGGGCCCACGCTCTGTGATCGAAATTATTATGGCGATTCTCAATGAGGAAGAAACGATCCAGGCCCTTGTTATGACAACTAGTCACTTGCGCTACATGACCAGCTGTGGTGGGAAGCGGTCTCATTAAGAGCCCGACCTGAGACATAAAGACCGGCTCCGCACTAAAACACGTTAGTATTCGATGGAAACTGAAAGGTGAATGTGAAAACTGACCATGAAACAACCGATTGCAAAGATGACAAGGTTGAGAACGGTCAGGCAAGCCTTCGATGCGGTGGAAAAATACCGGCCCTTGTTCATGTAGAACCAGAAGACAGCGGGAAGAGCAACTGTGTCAATTAGCAACGGTAGCATTCTCCTGCAGCGAGGGAAGCTGTGAAGAAGGGGTCAAAACGTACAACTAAAGATACTTCCAAACAGTGCGCTCTTTTGGCAAGTTAGCAGTGTGAACCATCACGCGAACAGGCAAAACGTACGACAAAACTAAGAAGATCATTGAATCCCGGAATTGACTCAGCAATAATCCAAGCAATAACCCAAAGAAGACCTCCGATTCCGATCCATGTTCCAATGCCCACAAAGCTTCTCTTATGCATGTGAGCAGAGCCGCGCAGGACCCTGACGTAAACATATTTGCAGGCGACGTGACCAACGACTATACCAGCAATGAAAACCTATATTGCATTAGTCAAAGATGCTGGCCTTGTATATATGGAAGTTGGACAGAACAAACCGTTGGAATTGCGAGGCCATAGCAAATCTTCTTCATGAGCGGACCCGCCGAGGAAGGAGCGGGAGATTTGACATTTGGTCCGGCAAATCGATAGATGACCAAGCCAGATACAAGATACATAACGCCATCTGTAATCTGAAGCATAGCCAGAGACTTGGGGAAGGTTTTCGGATCCTGTGTTTCTGCTATAAGACCGAAAAAGGTCACATGGGCAACTAATGATTGAGGATTAGCCATTGCTGTGCCTGCGAGCGAAAGAGAATCAAGACGTACTGAAACCAAACATGATATTGCAGAATGCCAGAAATCCTTCATAGAAGCTGACCTGTCGGACGACATGGATTTCAATAGGACCCTCGGACTCGACCCCGATGCTGACCATGGTCACTATCGTCGCTGTAAGAATACTTATAAACGCTGGCAGGAGAAAAGTAGAATGATCAGCCACCTTTGTTATATGAATGATAAGCTTATCACCTTCATAATTGGGGTATACTCACAGATAAGTGATAACCAATATACTTTGGCCATTGTGCGTGGAAGCGCACCGAGGAAGCAAATGATTAGCGAAACGACACCAAACACAATACCACAGGCTCCGTTATCAGTGATAGTGCTGAGTACGATTGTTCCTGTTAGGATGTGGCTTGACATGACAAAGATCAGAAGTAAAAGCTGTCCGATCTCCAGCACTATACGTCCGGGGCGACCGAATAGGATTTCTCCTGCATCGCCCATACTATGGACATGGGGGAAACGAATCTTGAACTGTCCGATAATATAGCCAGTATACCAGGATAGTGTCGATAAAAAGACAAGCAGAATTGCAGCTCTATGATTCAGAGTTAGTTATGCGTAACTGCGGCAGCTGCCTGTCACATAATACATACGGAACCATTCCTAGAACAGCAACAGTCGATGGAATAGAGAGAATTCCCAAAGAAGTATTTTCAGCAATCATGACTACAAATCGTTCTTAGTGGAATGGCAGGACTGTCAAAGGGGGTCCTCTCACGCATTCCACATTGCCTGTGTATTTGTTAGTTACATATTGCAGTCCTGATCCACGGATAGGAATAGAAACTTACCACCAGTTCATCGTCCGATATTTCACTTCTGCGACTTCTTCAGATCCAAACGGATCATCCCTTGCTGGCCCTGAGCCTTTCCCTTTGGTCTCATCTTGTAGCTCTGGGTCGTTGACTTCGACATCAGAAGATAATACGCGTCGTTCCCGATCTTCATCCATTTTGTGTGACTCAGAATGGAAGTGAGTAAGCTTGATGAATGGGAGTCAGAGAATGACTTGGAGTTTTCCACTGTCAGGTTTTTTAATCTAAGTGGACCTCTCTACGAACACCTAGGCTAACTTTTTGATCGAGATAAAGTGGGACATCACAGCTCCTCAGATCCGCATAGCTGGGTATTCTTTGACAATTACATGCGATCGTGTCAATAATACCCAGAGCCTGCGACTAGAGTCTTTCCACATAGGCGAGGGAAGCTTGTCTGACCGGGCTACTGTATGGATTAAGTATTCCAGAGTGTTCTTTCAGCAATTTGTTTCAGAATCAGAAATTGCCGCACCGTACCGCGTTTGGTCAAGCCAATTGCCCCTTTCTCCAGATGGAGATTCTTTTTCACAAGTCAAGCCATCCCGAGGTTAATAAGGTATGCGTGACTAATAAATATCACGTATTCTTTTGATCTGGCCAGTTAAATCCGCTCTTTTGTGGGGATTTTCCAAGTGGCAATGGAAACACGATCTTAGCGTGGTGGTATAGTGGAGAGGTGAAGAAATTTGACTGTCTTGGCATGCCGATCCGTTATTCAAGGAACTCTGCCTGAGGCAACGATTCAGCTTCTATTTCCGATATTGCATGTTTCAAGATTGTCTCTTTGATTAGATAGGGAGCAGATATCGTTTAAAAGGGTATCTGAATTTATTCATGCTTTCTGCTGAAATAGCCAATCTTCTACCAGTCCTACTGTTTCGTTTCCCCGAGTAAACATGCTGTAAACTTAGAAATAAAAATAAAAAAATAGTTACTGAGTTCGATTTCACATATATTTGATCATAATTATTGTGTGTAAAGCTTGAAATACTCGTTTGTTACAGAAAAAGGAATCTTTAAATGTCTTTCGATATCGTTTGTGGAGGTATATATACAACGTAGAACGTCGTCCTGCACGCCGTTTAAAATATCGACGTATAGGGAGGATCTTCTTCGCACGGTATGTAGTTGTGTAGTCATTGAGTTGGCGTTGATGTTGTTTGCAAGTAACGATTCGTTTATTGCCGTTTGTCTACGCGTCCCGACACTGATCTCGGGATTAGTTGCGAGCAACAGCTGGACAACTGATGATTACGTGCACCTACCAAGATATGAGTGTATAAAACTGATTGATCGAGCCAACTGAGGTATGCCTCCATAATAGTGTATAATTTACCGGTACTGCATCCAAAAGTGCTCTGATGGCTCTCTCTTCAACAAGAAATAACATTGAAATATCGTTCATTTCTCAATTCTTGTCAGAAACGCGAACTTTGTCTCCAACTCAACCGGATAAAATCGCACCCCGATTCCTTTCAACATTCTCTAGGTCAACATTTGATACCTACCCATTCACTTTGTCCTTGAGATCATTGACAGCCCCTCGACAGTCGAAGTTGAACTCATTCTGCTCCATATCAGCAAGCCAAGTCTTCAATGCTGGCTTCAAGTGATCCATGAAATGGCTGAAACTTCCACTTCCCCTAAGCGTGTCTGTCTTAACGGGAGAGTGCCCAGTGAAGGCTAAGGCCAGAAGTCAATGTTTTGTCTTGTGAGATCAGAGTGAGTCCAGGAAGTGATTGCGTGGAATGTACATACAAACCCAAACACAGTTTGAAGCGAGTCCCGGAAACAGGAACTTGTCTGTTCTGCATGATGAATCTTACAAACTCTGAACTTCTTCTTATAACGGCCCAGTATCATTACCATCTCGTGTTTTGTTTTTCATCAAATGATAGGAATCTCAGTTGAATCCGTAATCACTTACTTTCTACTCACAAGAACAGTAGACCAGCAAATTGAAAAGCCACAACGTTTCATTGAGCGATAAAACTATATATAGCCTTTGTATTCACATAAAGGAACGGGGAAAACAGACATATTCATCTGACAAAAACCCGAACCAAGGCAAGACATAATGAACAATAGCACCTTAGCCAGACGAGCCTTATGTGACATGTGAGATGGCGTGGTATGTTCGGTGGGACTGGAATCAGGTGCTATATCTTTTTACCCACTTAGGGATGGAACCTAAATCCAGTGCTAAATGTTGGTCAGCAACTAAAATGCACATGGGAGCGAGGAGGAGGGGTTATATATACAGGAAGGAAGCTAGAAGCAGCGCAGGCCTTGCTAACGAGGTTGCCAGCGGTGGCAAGAGCACCTCCTCGGCCATACTTGGTGGCGACACCCTCGATGCAGGTCCAGTATTGGCAGCCAGCGGCACTGCCGTCCTTGCCGAGGTTGAAACCATCGAGGAAGCTGTCAACACATTGGTGCCATTCCTGGTACTCGGCCGGAGAGTACTTATTGGCCTGAGCAGCTGGAGCGGAGTATCCACCGTACTGCTGCTGAGGAGGGAATGACTGGTACTGCTGGGGCTGTTGGGCTTGCTGGCCATACTGTTGCTGAGGCTGGCCGTATTGAGCGGTAACAGCGGTGGCCAGGACGGCGATGGTGGCGACAGAGAACTTCATTTTGATGAGTCTTTCGAGTGTTAGTAACTAGTCACCGATGATGTCCAATGGCAGAGCGTACTGTTTGTTGGTTGTGAAAACGTTGGAAGTGGTTAGGATGCTTTGCTTTGCTTTGCTTTAGAGATGATGGGATGAGGTGATGGTTGATATGAGAGAATTGGCTGGGAAAGAGCTAGGTACTTATACGTTTTTCTCCTGCCTGGTTGTCTCGGCTTCAGGCTGGCTGAACTCCAATACACTGCACCATGTCCAACAAGGGGAAGGCTGTGGCTGATCTCGTCAAAATTGCAGCTCTATTGCTGCCAAAGCGCTCTTCAGCTCGCCACAATTTACCAGGCCCTGCACTACTCACATTGCACTCTCCCTTGCTCCTTTACACTACGTTATCCTTGTCGGTACCTGTGGAATGCCTAGCTACTCGATTCCCGTTACCAAATGATCCACCACGGCACGTCTCTATAGATCATAAATCCCTCATAGTCTACATCGACTTGAATTGAATACACAGAGCATACTTAGCTTTGTGTAATGATCCACCAGGTGGCGAGACGCTACGACAAACTCATACAGGCGAGTCCCTCGCAGCCAACAGTGAATACCATCCTTACAATCCGTCTGAAAACTGTCTATGATTGCTGGCGATGTACTACAGGCCAACAGCCTCAGAGTTTGTCAAATAGCGGTCTATCAGCTATTGCTATTATTCTTCATGCCGGACCACGACGGTGGAATTGATCATGTGGGGATTTACACCTAGTCAGGCCAGGGACATTTGTCACTATTTTTTTTTTTTTTTTAGCTAGCGGGTATACCAAAATAGTAGTTACAATATCTTGATCTTGATCGTTTCATAGAAAATAGAAGCAAGATTGTACATGACGGGCCAATGCGACCGAGTCAGTGGGAACCCTCATATAATAGTCCCGTTTTCTCTCTTCGTAGCTCCCGGCGAACAAAAGACCACGGGGCTAGTTTGATACATCCTGTCAGACTTCGAAACAAGCCGTATTGGTATTATGGACCCATAAGACACGTAGTAGGTTTGCATAGCGTAAATTACATGGTCAAGTTTCATAACATCAATGTTACACATGCAAGTCAAGATTGGATCGTGGCTGGCTGAGCCAAGTGCCGGCAATCCATAATCTGCAAAACCTGCATAGACTGCATTTCGTGGGGAACCGACTAGTGTCGATCGCGACTCGGGCCGTCCCATAACCTAAATGATAGCTCATTTTCACTTCGTACGTCGGGACTTGGCCCCAGATGATTTCACTTGTAGATATTCACTGCAAAGAACAATCTCACCAGATGGCATTTTCTGGACGATGAATGTATTATTACAGTGTGTCGGGACCATGTAGGCCACGGATGCAGGTTAGATTTCTGCAGCACGGCTGAGACCTATCTCAACCTCCCTGCATACCTCTTATGTACCAGCATTGCTTCTCATACGTCTGAAAACAAAAGGAGCAAATTAAAATATAAAAATATAAAAGTTAAAATATAATAAAGAGAGGTTACACAAACTCCTGGGCCCCGAGATCGTCCGGGGCCCCGTACTCGGCTCTTCTCCAAAGCTGCAGGAAACCTGCACTAGTGAGATTAGCGCCAGGCTCTCAACTGCCGTGTAACACCAGACCAATATTGATGGATAATGTAGCTGAAAAAGCACTAGCTCCATTAACTTCAGATCTCAGTTTTAGTTCCATTGTCAGCTGAGGCATTTGATGCAATGCTACATCCGCTACACCCCTTCACAGCCCTCATGTATTCCCCCAAAATGTTGTGAGCGGCGAATGATCTGCAATGTATCTGTCCAGACCAAAAAAAGTGAGGGAGTCTTTGACATTACAGGACGACAAAGTTTACCAAAGGGGCGTTTTTGCAAAGGCCTGTGGCTCGCTCGAGAACGAAGATCTTGGAATAAATGTAGATATAAATAGTTGACTATATCGCCTGGCTGTAGGCACTCCTTCAGTCATTCAGATCTTTCATTGACACGATGAAGAAGATCCAGGCGGTCTTTACTGTGCTTTTTTCAGTTTCGGTCTGCCAGGCTCAGTCTAGTTTCCCTGGCCAGACCGCCCTCCGAAAATATACCCTCGATGATATTGTACCTACCACCGACCAGGCTTCTGGGCATGTCAAGTGCTGTCCCACTGGCACAGAGTTTGATGGCCATGCCTGTATCCTGAGCGCGCCTATCTGTCCTGATGGTAGCTCTCGTGTTGGAGACAAGTGTGTCTTCCATGCGAATCCAACCTGCGATGCTGGATATGAGCTCAAGGATGGCCTCTGCGTTACCACTCAGCCCCCTACCTGCGACCAAGGAACCATTCCGCACGGCGATCACTGCGTCCTGGAAGGGGGTGCTAGCTGTGGGCCTGGATATCTTTTGAAAGGCAATGTTTGTGTTGCCCAGGGACCCCCTGTCTGCCCAGATGGTGAACGCTTCAACGGAAGGTCTTGTGCATCACTCAACGGGCCGAAGTGCACGGATGGTTCGAAGCTGGAAGATGGTGTCTGCGTTGATGAGAAGCCCCCCAGATGCCCCAAAGGAACTTCCTTCGACACGACCGGTACACGATGCATCTCGGAGCAGGTGCCAGGTTGCCCAGAGAACACAACTCCTCGAAACGGACAATGCACTTCGAATATCGGACCTCAGTGTCGCGATGGTAGCAGCTTCAACCCCAAAACTCAATCGTGTACTACTATCGAAATGCCTCAGTGCCCACCCGAGACGGAGCTGGACAATAACAAATGCATCTACACTGGTCAGTTGCAGTGTGAGACGGGCACAGTTCTCTCTATTAGCAACGCAGCTGGCTCATCGCGCTGCTGCCCGCTCGACATGGCCTGGAACGGAAAGATTTGTCTCACAAAGGCGATTGATGGCAAGTGCCCGGATGGGAGCACTCCGATCAACAACCGGTGTGAGAAGCATTCCAATCCTCAACCACACTGCCCGCCAAACTTCAAATTGGACAAAACTCGCTGCGTTCTGCAAAGCTCCCCTCGATGCCCAGAAGACAGCTATCTGGACGGAAATCAATGCACCCTTGTAAAGAAGGCGGAATGCGCACAAGGAACGGTTCTTATCGGTAGTGACTGTGTGCTTCGAGGCCCTCCTTCTTGTCCCCCAAACACCAATATTGAAGGAGGCAAATGTGTTAGTTATGCGGAGCCAACTTGTGATGAAAATGCCACTTGGGATGGCAAGCACTGTGTGGGTAAAGGTGGCATTGTATGTGAAGACGGAATCTATCAAGGTGGAGATTGTACCACTGCGAGCCAACCTAAGTGCAGAGATGATTCATCATTCGATGGTACCCGCTGTGTTTCGAATGTTTCCCCTAAGTGTACTTCGGGATCTGTACTCAACGGGGATGGATTGTGCCTTACTGCGACTCCTCCTCAATGTCCTCCCAATACCAGACTGCAAGGCGGGAACTGCGTCTACGGAAAGCCTAGCTGCGCCCCCGATCAACGTCTTGTCAATGGGCGGTGTGAGAGTTCAGAGGGCCCCGAATGTCCTGAAAAGTTCTTCTGGAAGGGTGGAAGGTGCACCCGTATCGTCGAAGAACACTGTGAGCCTGGGTTCACCCTCAAGGACGGCCAATGTATCTCCGGCGCCACTCCTGATTGTGGAGATCTTGTATTCAATGGCAAGGCCTGTGTTGGTGAGAAGCCTCTCTGCCCTGACGGAACCCACCTCGATGGAGAGAACTGCTTCTCCAACATCGATCCCCAGTGCTCGCCAGGTTTCAAGTTCAACGGCAACAAATGCAGCGCAGATCAGCCCCCTCAATGTCCACCTGGCACCACACATGACAAGGCTACCCAAGATTGTGTCTCAGTAACAGAGCCTCGCTGCCCTCCCACGCAGAGATTCAATGGTAAACACTGCGCTATTGCCTCTGGCGAGTGCATGGAATTCCAGTTCTGTCCCACTGAGTCCTATGGAAAGGGATGCCAGTTCACTCTTGATGGAGTTATGTGCAATGGATCCAAATTCCAGCAGCAGCCGGATATCGGGGCCATTGGACATAATGCCGGCGAGACAGGATTCCCGAACCGAGAATTCCCCGTTCAGTCCAACATTGGCCAAGATCAGGTTCCCGACCAAGGCAACACCCATGGTGCTTGGCAGGGACAGCCGCATAACCAGCAGACTGGATGGCAGCCACAGCAACAAGTCAACCCCGGAGTCTGGCATGAGCAGCCTAGACATCAAACTGGATGGCAGCCACATCAACAGGGCAACCCTGGAGTCTGGCGTGAGCAGCCCGCTGGTCAAACTGGATGGCAGCCACAGCAACAGGGCAACCCTGGAGTCTGGCGTGAGCAGCCCGCTGGTCAAACTGGATGGCAGCCACAGCAACAGGGCAACCCTGGAGTATGGCGTGAGCAGCCAGCTGGTCAAACTGGATGGCAGCCACGATCGTAGCCCAACCCGAATGTGTGACTGGAGCGGCCTCATTGAGTTGGCTAATAGCCTACAATACCGTGATAAGGCAGCCATGAGAAATTTCAATGAAGTACCCGGTATGTCAACCAATCACGGGTTTACAGGCTCATAGGTCATCACAGCCACAGCAGGGTGTCAGTGACTATGGACTATTTGTTATAGTGTAGAAGCAGTGACTATCCTGAGATTGAATCCAGCTGTCATTCCTGTCTACGATGTGTTTTCTTATGTTTCCGTTCAATCCGCATCAGCGGTAACCCACTGTCATTACAAGTCTTAGTTCGGTTAGTTATATAGTGCAATCACTTGAGATTAAAACAAATCTATTTTCAATTATATAACATTGCGTTACCTCTGCAATGAGAAATTCCCCTAGTCTCTCTACCCTCCGTGTTGCCAAAACGTCATGGGCCCCACGTAAGGTGCGAAGTGAAGAAGAATGTTTAAATTAATAAGTTTCGAGGTATAACCTACTTGCCGAAATATATATTTTGGGCAGAAATTCCACCTGATCTCAAGTTTACAAGTAGTCTGCAGTGTACTGAGTAAATATCATATCCATGCTTCAATCTTCTAAGTTATATTGCCAACGCTAATCAAGTGTGAGACGCGAGGGATGCTGTGAAGTGTAACGCGTCTGGCCGGGGACTATATCAACAGGCTGCAAGTAATATGATCCGCGTGCAGCATCGCCTTTCGATTCATTGATCCTCTTGAGGCCCCGACCAAACTACATGATGCATATAATGGCGCAAGTAACCGTTGCCGTACTCAGCGCCAGAGATAAAGAAGCGAAGAGGAGCATCACGTCTTTTCCATCCGTATTAGCTCCAAAGAGAACAATAATGCGGCTGATCGAATATGCTATCACCTTCGCAGTAGGGGGGAAAGTTTTATTACAACAGGGCTCATGAGTGTGAAGGGCTTTTGCCCTATGGCTGTATATATGTCGAATGCTTCGGAAGTGCAATTGTGAGTTCCTAGCCGATATAGCGTTAAGCATCGTATTGCTGCCCGTAGATGGAATTTCTAATTTCGAATTCAAGCTATTCCCATTATGTCCGAGCCGGGAGAGCCAAGACCTCATACGTAGCTAAAAGCTTGGCGTGTCCAACTGGCTGCATGCTCATACTTCCCATCCAATCATAACAGTGGCGGAAAAAGAAAGGCCCTCCACTGTGGCTATGATATTGCCAAGGGTTTCTCGGCGGGACAGCTCGACTCAGTAAATTAGGCAGCATGATTATAGAACGTCATGGATGTAGATCATTACCAGGTCACTGAGCTAACATGGAAGCTAAGTCAGCCACTAGAGGCCACGGAGTACTCCGTATGGCATATAGGTCTGGCGGCTCAGCCACATAAGGTGAAGACGTGAGAAGTTAAACGGGTAGAATTACCCTTTCTGCGTATGGACTGATCCCACGTCGATCGTGAATCTAAGTGACATGAACATGGACAACGATCTATGCCGGTTTCACGAATTCCGGATCAGGTACTTCATTTATTGTCAGCATGCAGTAACAGAATCAGGCTACTATATTATGCAATTCATCACCGCATGTTGGACTCAGCTTCCCGTTTGTTATCGTAATGAGGAATATTACTTTGAACAGCTCTCTGATTACGCATATCTATCGTCATTTACCGTGGAATACTTTTATTGAAGGAATCTTTTAGAGAATGCATGTATGTGTAATATTTGATGGCTGAGTACCTAGTGGAGACACAACATCCAAGGAACAAGGTTAAGGTGTCAGCATCTTGCATTAGCGCCAAACCTTACATTAAGGCTCCATGAAGAATGAAAGCCGTTTGATTACATGTGGAATGCGACAAGCATAACACTCAGTACTCAACAGCTTGTTTAGTTCACATATAATGTTATCAGCGACGCGTGGCTTCGGTATATCCTGCAGAGACATTGTGTATTTCTAAATCTCCGATGCTGACTTCAATGCTAGTGACACAGGACTTGGCAGGGTAAAATCACCCCACCGCCAACTATAAGACCAACGGTCTGTCGCTGGAGGCAGAGAGCATCCTATTCCCAAAATTTCATACTGTGATCCCAGTGTACAGACTTTCCTCCCAGCCGACAACAACACCATGAAAATCAACAAAGGGAACACAGCCGTGCTCGGCATCATGGCCATCGGCAACGCGGTCTCCGCAATGGCACAGAATATGTCCTACGGAGCAGACAACTTCTACCGCAGTGACAATGTGACGGTCCAGCCGGTCACTTTCCCAACTCAATATCGGACTACTGTCGCCGGTAACATGTTCATTCTGAACAACATCAATCGCAGTGCCGACATGCCGGCCGTCATCGTCGGCCACCCCATGGGTGCAGTGAAAGAGCAGAGCGCCAATCTGTACGCCACCAAACTGGCCGAGCAGGGCTTCGTTACAATCTCGCTGGACGCCCCGTTTTGGGGCGGCAGCGAAGGTGAACCACGCAACGCAGTGTCCGCCGAGCTCTACGCAGAGGCGTTCAGTGCCGCAGTTGACTACCTCGGCTCGCAAAACTTCACAAATGTGGATCGTGAGCGTATTGGCGCTCTCGGTATCTGTGGTAGTGGCTCTTTCGTGATCAGCGCGGCGAAGATCGATCCGCGCATGAAGGCCATCGCGACCTCCAGCATGTACAACATGGGTGCTGTCGCCCGCCACGGGCTTCGCCACTCCCAAGACGTCGAGCAGCGTAAGGAGGTTATTGCTGAGGCAGCGAACCAGCGCTGGACCGAGGTGGATGGTGGTGAGGTTCAGTACACTGGCGGAACCCCGAATCACCTCACGGCAAACACGACTGCAGTCGGACGTGAATTCTACGATTACTACCGTACCTCCCGTGGCGAGTTTACGCCTCGAGACACCACACCGGAGCTGACAACGCACCCAACGCTCTCGAGTAACACGAAGTTCATGAACTTCTACCCGTTCAACGACATCGAGACCATCTCACCCCGTCCGATGCTTTTCATCTCTGGTGACCAGGCCCACTCGCGCGAGTTTAGCGAGGATGCTTATGCGAACGCGGGCGAGCCGAAGGAGCTTTTCTGGGTGCCCGGAGCTGGCCACGTCGACCTTTACGATCGGACCGAGCTCATTCCCTTCGACAAGCTTACCCACTTCTTCCAGACGAACCTCGTTTAGAATAACGGGAATAGTGCAGTGGACTGAGAGGTCGCTCATTTTGTTTCAGGCCTTGATATCAAGCGTTCCGAATTGTAGGTCTGTGGGAAGAACTGATATAGACTGTCGGTTGCGTCTGCTTAACAAGCCTTTTTGTTTGAACATTTCGTCATGTACAATTAGTTCTTGGAATTAAAATATAAATGGGGCAGTTGAAGACAACCAGCTTTGAGATACATACCAACGTAGTGATTAAAATCCCATAGAAAGTGTTCTACACACTGAGTGACCTGGAAATTGAGATGTTGCCCTTTTTTATCTCTCTATTTTTTTGTGTTCAACACATCTCTTTATACAGAAGATCCTTAGATCAATTTTCAGTGCTCTACAATACCTCAGTGTTGAATTACTGAAAATTATTCACTCCCTCCTAGTAAACCACTCGCATTCAAATGAACGAGAAAGACAAGAAATATGTGAAGTAGGAAATCAAATGTGGGAACATCTCGGGGGATAAACTGATAGGATAGGCAAAATTATTAGACACAATCTGGGCCCAGCTTTATTCATACATCATATTTGTCTCCCACACTCGTCATTCCAACTTCGGCTTGGTATCCAGACAGATCATGTTTATCAGGCTGAGCTTGATATCTGATGATCCAGACAGAGAGCCAACCTACAACAAAACATAGAAGACAAACCCAACGAAGTGCAATATTTTCGGAGACACTGGCAAGAGATATGCGCATGTAAGGGTTGGATGAGATATGATAACAATGCCGGTCAATCGCTTTTCCAATTTCATCCATGTGAGCGAAGTTTGAATTCAAACATTGCAGAATAGAACGCCTCAGTTGCTCATCTGTTGTCAAGCACACTAGAGACGTTGTTTCGGTAGATATATAGGGGGGTTCGTATGATTGGATCCAAAAGTCACAGTTCTGATCGATGGAAAACGAGTCGGGTGTACCACGAGGAAGAGAGGCTTCTTCAGGAAAAAAGGATCTGGTTTCGGTATGACGGGCATGCGTTGATGGAAGATCAGCTGGATCGTATTGATGAGTGTGAACAGCTTTGCCTGGCTGAACTACTGGAATGTTTGTTGGAGGGGGAGTCGCAGGTCGACATTGCGCGTCGGGGATAGATGCCAACAAGCACACAGCTAGGATCAAGGGGTTTGTCAACATGAGAGAAATGTGTGATAAACCAAATCTTGCTGCTGTCTATAGAACTGAGATCATTAAGTCTTCTATTGCCAAGCCCCGAACCAGGGAATGCAGTAAGCAACTTGCATTAGCGCAAACCGCTGTCTCCACTCTAAATCCACCTTTTGTCAGCGTCCAATGAGATTTCTGATTTGGAAGGAATCCCTGGAGGACCCAAACAACTGGAACGATTGGCACTAAAACGTTATACCCGAAGACCGCAAGGAGTGGAGATGGTTGTCAGCGTACTTTTGCCACTGTCTTTATGTCCCCTTAGAGATCCCAACCTACCTGTCATCATACATGAACGATCGCCGCAATGGAGAAAAATGCCCCAGTATCAAAGGTCATTGCGCTGGCCACGATGCCACAACAAGCTGGCGTTCGAACCGCCGAAGATGATTGGACAGGGGTCATAGACCCGAAGGAGCGAAGGAAATTACAGAATCGGCTGAACCAACGACGCTACCGTGCGTGTAACAACTGCCACTATAGTTAGAGGATCTTAATGCTGATTTCCCCCAGGGATGCGAAAACATGATCCATCAGGATCACATGCTTCAGCTCGCGTTAATGCTGAGACCTCATTCTTCAAGTCCCCTTCAACCGTATCGTTCCCCTTCATCTCAAATGCGACCCGAGGGGGATACGATGATATATTCGAATGCGCCAACGCGCCACCTCATGCACGTCGCTTTCGGGAATGGTTTGAAGCTACAGCCTACCAAAGCTATTTGCATGGCAGTCCTCAAAGAGACCATCTAATAAGTCTCAGCCGAGTCAATGTTCATCGCGCCATCAATGAAAATATTGCTGCTATAGGGATGACCACTGATTGGATGAAAAGTGATGATTCCATTTCCATCTTCAATCTCATACAACCTGGCTTTACAGCCGAGGGGATACCACCTAGCTTGCAGCCAACCGCTGTCCAAATGCAAATACCGCACCATCCCTGGCTGGACTTCTTTCCATTCCCGGGCATGCGTGACCGTTTGATCCTGGCTGGTGATTCGTTCGATGATGATGACTTATGTCATGATCTTATGGCGTTTTGGGATACAAGGAACACTGCTGCGACATTACTGGTATGGGGAAATTCATGGGAACCGAAGAATTGGGAGGTCACTGAGAACTTTGCACATAAATGGAAGTGGCTGCTTATTGACTCGCCCGGACTATTGGCTTCAACAAATATTTGGAGGAAGTCGAGAGGAGACAAGCCTCTGAATTGGAGGGAAATTTTAAATTAATATGAGCTTTTGTTTTGTCTGCCTGGCGATGGCTTTATTCCAATTGTCTGGGAGATGCTGTATCGGGTTTCAACCGTTTGTGTGTAAATATTGCATACAGTAGTCCCGCATATGACTGGTGAAGCTGAGTTGACAACACGCACAGTGGTGACCGGACCGTACATTAATCGTAATAAGCGTGCGCAGTCGGTTTTCCTTACTTAATTAACAGGACTGTAATAATACTGAGACCCACCGGGCTGTCTGGTGTATAGAATGCTATTTTATGTGTTAATATTTACTTTTATGCTGACTGTGGGTCAGGGGATCCGTGGTTTACGGGTAAGCAAGATGCATTAGTATACCGTTGAACGGGGGTGGCTCTGTTGATCGGATGTAAAAACCTATTTAAATCGCATTCCTTTCTATTCTATTTGAAAGACCGGAGAGTATTCTTTTTCTTGTCAATAGATTGGGTCCAGTTTCCTACTTTTGCAATGCCTAGCTACACGCCCTCTAGTCCCTTGAACTGCGATGTTGACTTTGATTATTCAACATTGAAAGGACAAACAGCTATTGTCACAGGCGGTAAATTTCCCTCAGAGCCCTTTACCCACTATGGTTACCAAACTGACTATGAAACAGGTGCAAACGGACTCGGCGAAGCTTATGTTCGCTCGCTCGTCACTGCAGGGTACTGATCCCCAAAAAAAACTATCAATCCGAGGATACGTATGTGGCTCACATGTGAAACAGGGCTGTTGTGTGTATCGGTGATCGTGACATCAAGGGAGGGCAGAAACTCGAAGCAGAGCTTCCAGGGTAGGTTCTCGAATTGTCAACATATTTGATAGAGGCTAACTTGCAGCAAGTGTGAAATTCTTCGAATGTGATACCTCTAAATGGGAAGATCAAGTCCGACTATTCCGTGGAGCTGTTTCATTTTTTCCGAATGGGAAGATCTCATATGTGGTAGCTAACTGTGGCATTCACCGAAACGATGAAGTCTTTTCGTACTCCGGTGACGGTCAAGAACCGAAAAAGCCCGACTTGACAACAATTGATGTCAACCTCACTGGGACTCTATACACGGCGAAATTGGCGTCTCACTATTTTATCAAGCAGAATGGACAGGCGCCATCTTCAACCCAAGAAGATACATGTCTTGTGCTCATCGGATCAGGTGCAGCCTTTTTGGACTGCCCCCGTGCTCCTCAGTATTGTGCCACCAAATGGGCAATGCGAGGGATTATGCATTCTTTGCGACGAACAGCCTTTTTCTACGGAAGTCGAGTGAATATCATCTCGCCTTGGTAAGTGCTCTATAAAATACGGGCTTCTTTCAATCAAACGCTAACTCCAAATAGGTACGTCAAAACAAACATTCTTTCAGAGGAGGCATTTGCGCATGTGGCTGGTGTGGGAGTGGATTTCGCAGAAGCATCCGACGCAGGGAACTGTTTGTTGCGAATTTTGAGTGACACTGGTGTCAATGGCCGTTCATTATTTGTTTGTCCAAGAAAATGGGCCCCTCGGGGCTACATGGACCTCGACTTGGAGGATTACTCTGATAATTCCCTCCTCCAGGAGATTCAAGCAGATCAAGTGAAATCTGCCCCTGTCGAGCTGGGTCTTTTTGTGTAGACATGTGCTTTATTATTTTCTACTTGAATGGTAGCATCCCTTTGCCAGACTCGGATTCCACTTTGTTCCTCCTTTTTACTTCAGATCTAACTATGGGCTGTGGCTACACTGGACCACATGTGTATAGATGCATGAATGTACCCAAGTGGATTCAGAATTCTTAGTGGGTCTTGGCCTCCACTTCAGTTTCCACCCTTTACTTGTATGATTCCGCCCTATGCATCCAACTTAGTTGTCATTGGGATATTTTATCAATATGATCATTTATAAACGCTATGCAAACAAAGTTTCTATCAACATTCCGCTTTTTTGTACATTTGCCATTCACTTGGGAAGTAACGATGAATGTTCTATATGCATCGGCCATTGAGCGACTTCATCCGCTCACAAGAGCATCAGGTGTGATTGCCGCAGCCGCGGCAGCACCGTCGCCAGGGGTGACTGTACCCTCAGAGGTAGAAGTATTGGCATCCCCAGATTCTTTTGTTTGTTCTTTTTCACCCTTGGGAACAGGCTTGGAGCCCTTCTCTCTAAGCGCTCCAGTTTCGAACGCTTCCTCGGGCAGAGGACGGACATGAGGCTGGCAGATCCACCAAGGTCGTCCATATTCAGCAATAGTTGCTTTCGATCCCGTCAGATTCTCGTCGGGCTTGGTCTCGAACTTCTCGGGTGATGCTTCATACTCCTGGAGGCCACCTTTGATGGCTTTCTCTAGGAGAGCCAAAGTATGCTCAAAAGCCGCCATATCGCCCGGTCGTGATCTCGCCAGCGCGTCTCGGACGTCGGTGTGGGTTGCAACCATGGGGCGGAGAACTTGGAACAGATGTGCTTGCATGAATCCAAGACTGGCAGAGTTGGGCTTCTTGAGCTTGTCAGATTTGTTCCGCTTTTGCTTCTTCTTAAGGGGACCGTCGTTATGGTCATTATCTTCCGTCTCGGGTTCAGCAAATTCATCAACCGGGTCGGATGGAAGGTACAAAGGCTTCCTCTCTGGGACAGGCTGCTCCAGAACGTATTTATAGATGATGTCGAGGTATCGTCGTAGAACAGCATCGATTCGGTAACCGCCTTTGCCATTCCGGCCCCGCCAGTATTCTCGTCCTTCACTTCCAATCGGGGGTGGCTTGCTGAATATTGAGGGATCTGACAGGTTTCCTTCCGCGCTCATCACGCCGTCGGCGCCAGTCGCTTCGAGACACTTCTCGATGTCGTCGTAGTTAAGGATATTGCCGTTGGCGAAGATCACCGTTTCCGGGGGTAGGTTGTCTCGTAGATAGCGCAGGTATTCCCAGTCTGCCAGTCCAGTCATGTGGCCCTTCTGTTCCCGCCTCCGTCCATGCACGGTGATGATGCTAGCGCCAGCAGAGAGAATCATCTTAGCGTATTCCAAGGTCTTTTCCTTATCCTCTTGGATACGGAATTTGGCAGTAACAGGAATCGACAGCTCAGTGTGTAACCGGTTAATGAGCTTGTAGATCAAATCCCAGTCCTCCTGGAGGAAAGCTCCATAGTGTCCCTTGCGCGCGATACCCTGGGGACAACCAAGGTTCAGATCCACGGCATCACAGTATGGTGCCACATGGCGAGCAGCCTCGAGAAACTCATCTGGGTTGTTTGAGCAGAATTGAACGAAGAGCGGGCGGTCGATTGCGGGGTTTCCGTCGAGGAATAGATCTTCCTTCTTTCCTCCGACAACCTTGCGAGTAGGTTGGAAATTTTGGTTTCGGACGCGCTCTTGTTCGCCGAACAGGCGAGCATGGTACATTGGAGAGTATGCAAGCATTGGCTTGGGCTCGTCTGGAGGCATGAAGGATCGAGTGAGCATGCGCCACGCCTTTGTAAAATATTAGTGTCGGTCCATAATATTGTCTTGAAGAGCAAACTTACAAATTCAGATCTGTCGACCATGGGCGCAACGATATATTTGGGGCTACCGATGCTCTCATAGAATTTTCTGCCAAACAGCTTTTCCTTCTGCGTAGCAGGCGCTGAGCTCTGCTCGCTGTGTTGCGGAGGGGTCTCAGAGACCATGGCGGCGGTGAAGCGGGAGGAGCGTCGAAAGAGTCGGCCCAGTGAAGGGCTGAAGTGTTTCAGGATACCTATTTTGACTGCTGGAAGGAAATTCCTGAGATTGCTCATGGATCACCTCGAGTCGCAAAGATTGAAAGTCGCAACTTTTTGAAGGGCATTATCACGGGGCGGATCTACCTTAGTCCGTCTTATCTTATCAATATCTCTACAATATACAGTTCGTTGAATGTATTGTTTCTCTATTTTCTTCGGGGGGATAGTATACTCTTCTTAAAAATCCGAAATATCGTTTACGCCTGTCGCTGGCTTGATACGGTCAATTGACTCCAGATTGGTGGCTTTCTCTGAGGCTGACCTCGAGGGCTTCGCGGAGGCATTATGTAATCTGATATGAGAGCTTCGAGAATCCGGACCGTTCAAACAAAACACTTCGGACATATCTGTACACGTTACGAGATAATGTGTAACGAATTATGATGCAATAAGACAAAGTCTACCACCTCTGATTAATACCGCTTGTTCGGTCCTAAACCCCTGAAAGCATTTTATTCTCGACTGTCAACAATGGACGCGTCAACAGGAGCAGGAGGTAAATCACGCAATCTTCCGGTTGGTCAATTCTAACAATTTCCCAGGTCCCTTGAATCTTCATGTATCTGAAGATGGGCTATATGCTGCCCATGTGAGCGGCAAGGGCCTGATTGTCCATTCAAATGCAGCTTCAGAGCACAAGGAAGTCCAGATCGCAAGGATCAAAGAGACTGGGCTCAAGTTTCTCAAATATTCTCGTCCACAAACCGCCCCTGGCGCTTTGAATAATGAGGATTTATCCCGTCGGCGTCTTCTATCTGCCAACGATACCCGAATTTCAGTCTGGCAGCTCAATCCACTGGAGATATTTGCCGAGATCGAAAGTGTCGAACCCGGGGCATTGGCTGTGGAATTTGGCGCCGATGAAAGTGAAGTGCTAGTGTTTCACTCCTGGAACACCAAGTTGAGCATCTACTCGTTAGAAACGGGCCGCTGTTCGGTGATCAAATCCCCAAAACTCGCCCATCATCTTGGGTTCGGTTATCGACCGAAAACCAAGCAATTAGCCATTCTCCTAAAGCCAGAAACTTCAGATCTACTGACTGTCCATGAACCCCGGTCCTACGACCTCCTCAATCGAACTGTGCTCCCAACTATCGATGCCCAGGGCCTGAAATGGAGTCCGGACGGGAAATGGATTGCTGTCTGGGATATTGCTAGTGCAGGTACAAAGGTGGTGATTTTCACGGCCGACGGCCAGCTTTTCAGAACCTACTCTGGACCATCTGGAGTAGACGACAGCTTTGATTTAGGGGTTAAACAGATCGAATGGAGCCCTGCCAATCCCCAAATAGGTGTCTCTGAGACCCTGGCTGTTGGAAAAGTAAACGGCAATATTGACTTGCTTCGAGCCCGTACCGTGAGTTATCATCTAACGAAACACGCTTGATCCACCAACTTACTTTGATAGTTCTCTTCCGCTACAACCCTCTCACACATTTTCCCAGCCGACCAGCAAGCTCCCACTATCTGGCGGGAGAGATACGTCAACGCAGATGGGGACGCCGAATACGCCGAGGCATCCAGCTCTTCTGCGCTCAGCATGAGTCCTGAGTCAGCAGGGTCACCACGGGGTGTCTTGGCCATGGCTTTCAGCCCTGACGGACTTCTGCTAGCGACTGTCGATACTATGCGGCAGAATGTTGTTTGGATTTGGTCGCTCGAGGGCACTCCAAAACTTGCGTCTGCTCTGGTCCACGAGCAACATGTTCGACAGATTGTCTGGCATCCTTCGACGCCACAACTCTTGATCAATACCATCACGAACACCTTGCCTGCTATCCGGTGGTGGTCATCACAGGATCATCCCGTTATTGCTCGGGTTCCCGTTGAGCGGAGCGAGAGTGGGAAGTATGATGTGAGGTGGGAAGGGTCTGATGCTGATTCAGCTTTTTGGTTTGGGTCTACGGAAGAATATGTCATTGGATATCTCTCTGCTGGAGACTGCGGTGTTGAGTTTGAATTGTTGAACTCGGTGAGCAGCAAAGCTGGAGGATACGGTGGAAGCTTGAGCCGATAGTCCAACTTATGATACCTTGGGGAGATATTGTAACTACTTCTTTTTTTGGGAAGGTGCCTCTGGGTCATTCCCTGGTAAGTATTAAATCACCGGAATCTCATATGAAATCAGTCCTCCTAGACAAATCAAAGTACTGACGTCGACAAAGGATATCCCACACTGGCTATACTCAAAAATCATTCTGTGCTAGATCTGCTATCCGCTGTATTTCCAAGTTGACATCTAGAAAAAAGCAAATAGTCAGTCAAAAACATTAGACTTCCGTTGATGAAGCCCAACCGCAATCAGACTTACCTGCAACTTCCCACCTACTACTCACAGAATGTAGCATATCTTCGCAAATAGACTTGCCCTCGGTATAATGAGAATTGCCCGTTTCCAGTGCCATCCATGACAAACTAAATGTACTACCAGTGTGCAAAGTGGGCAGTTTGCGGATTCTCAACCGTCCCGGTCCAAGGAGTTGCCTCACCGGCATCAAGGTGGCTGAGGCTCTGGCTGCCTCCGACAAGCAGTGGCAGGAATTGAGTCTTTCTTCGGCCTGAAGTGAGGGGTGTTTGTTTAGATGGATCCTAGGCTCACACAATTCCTGTATATGATACATCCGATAGAAATGTAGCCATTATATTATGCCCTTGTTTTGTCAGTCAAACCGAAGAATATCAAGGATATCAAGAAGATGCAAGCAAATCAACATTGTAAATTTGTCAAGGCGATCCCAGCTGATGTAAGTTGATAACCTCGCGATAAGACGATAAGAGATCGGCGATACTCCGCCTTTGACATCTTCTCCTCTTCCTCCTTCACACTTTGGGAACTCATCCTTCTTGTCAAACTCCCAGTCCCTCCAGAACGAGGTATCTCAGGTTCCTTGACGCGCCATCTGTGCGCATTGCACTGCTGGTGCCGATCGTGCATTGCCTTGCAGCTCCGGGCTCCAACCCCCGCACTCCGAATCGCAGGGTAGCTCAACATCCCCGACCCTATTCACCGATTAAATTTTGGACCCCTGGGAGGATGATACAGGTCTAGCTACAGATATTCAACTTGTGCCACTGTTCGTCCTACCACGATCTGTGCTGCTTGCGGGCTGGTCGAGATCAGCACATGCGGATGTCAACAGTCAGTGTTCCCCGTTAAATTGAGCTCGTCCAGTTCATTTTGTCGTCACTTCCTTGTTATCGCGGATAACCTAACAGTGCATTAGCCCGCTCGCCCCTGTTAGCACAATCACACGGTGAGTATACCACCCGTTGCTATGTTTACACTTTACTTGGATTCTAACAACCCCCGCATCTAGACATCTGCCGATCTAATGGAGGTAAGAGGTTTCTGCTTCGATATGCAATACCCAAACGATTCCCCTTTGTACTTTTTCAAGTCACGGTTATGCTATTCTGTGAAGCTCGGTTGCTCCGTGCCGCTGCAGCCATGCACGGGCCGTTGTGAGACTGCTGCTTGGTTCCGGGCACTTTTTCTCCCTCGGCAGATAAAGAAGCCCCAGGGACCTTTCCACGCTGCCGACTGGGCTTCTCGAATAAGCAAGGAACTGCAATCTCAACCTGTGGGTGTCTGCTACGGTTGCTATCTCAATGGGCCATTACATTATGGGACTGTGTTGAACCCCAGGGGCTCCCTGGATATTGCTCATCAGTCTCAGCCTCAGCCCTTTCCCTTCCTTTTTCTGTTTCCCCTAACAACCTCAATCCGATTGGGCTCACTGTCTGCCCAATGCTACCTTTGTATCCCAACTCACAATACTGTCACCATTCATCCTTACTTAATCTTTGACTTCACACGGCCTCTTGCTTCTCTACTTGCTCCCAATATGCACATCCCCTCTCATTGATTATGTTTGGCCCACCAATTGGCCGCAAGAGTCGACCTCATGCTCCTTTTCTCGGGCGTCAGGTCGACTTTTTCGCCTTGCGTGACCATCCATGGCAAAAGGCTGGCGCAGAGCTAAGTCTTGTGAACAATTTACAGGGAAACAACCAAGTTGCCGCGTCCACTCAGGGCAAGTCGGCCGAGGTGCCAAACACCAAGGGCCCCGATGCCAAACCACGTCTCCTTCTAATGGGACTCCGCCGGTAAGTCCTTCTACCACCTCTTGAATGAATGAGAAACCGAGTGTTCCTAGGAGCGGAAAGTCCTCCATTGCGAGTGTGGTCTTTCACAAAATGCCACCTAACGAAACCCTCTTCCTCGAATCTACCACACGGATTCAGAAGGACTCTATCCAGTGAGTATCTTACATAGACCCATTTTACGTTCTCCGCCAACCTGAGTCCTGCAGCTCTTTTATGGACTTCCAGGTTTGGGATTTCCCCGGTCAGCTCGAATACTTCGAGTCCAACTTTGACCTCGAAGACATCTTTGGCAGCCTGGGCGCCTTGGTCTGGGTGATTGACGCGCAGGATGATTACCTGGACTCGGTCGCAAGACTTAACCGCACCATCTTGACCGTGCAGCAGTACTACCCCGGCATCAATATCGAAGTGTTCATCCACAAGGTTGATGGATTGTCCGACGAGTACCGCACCGACACTTTCCAGGACATCGTGCAGCGTATCTCCGACGAGCTCAGCGATGCCGGCTATGAGAACGCGCCCGTCCACTATTATCTCACTTCAATCTACGACTACTCCGTCTTTGAGGCATTCAGCAAGGTCATTCAGAAGTTGATTCCCAACCTATCCACCCTTGAGAACCTGATCAACACCCTCGCCAATAATTGTGGCTTCGAAAAGACCTACCTGTTCGATGTACTGAGCAAGATCTACATCGCATCCGACACCCGTCCTGTTGACATGGCCTGTTATGAAATGTGTTCTGACTACATCGATGTGATTGTCGATGTCTCTGAGCTGTATTCATGGGACCACCCACAACGGAAGGCCTTGGGCGATCAGATCCAGGAGGCTGAGAGCCACGTAGTGTTGCACGATCAGACCATGATTCACCTGATGGAGATGAACAAGTAAGTATTTTGTGGCGCAGGCTACCTCCCGTGCACTTAGCTAACCATATCCTGTAGATACCTCTGTCTGGTCTCTGTCATCCGCAACCCTGAAGCAAAGGACAAACGGGGTCTGATCGACATGAACTGCCGCACTTTCCAGGACGCCCTAAACGAGGTGTTCTCGCGCAGCTGGGAGCAGGAAGAAGCTTCCCGGCAAGAAGCGGCGAAGAAGTGAAATATGTGAAACAGATACATTAAAACTCCTACGAGCATGTAACTGGCTGCAAATGACGCAGACGTGAACAAGAAAATAAGAAAGTAGTGTGCGCTTCTCTGCAGTCCGTCTCATAATTTATTTCGTGAAAGAATCAAGGAATCAATCATATCGTGTGGTCAAAATGCGGTAGAGGGTACCTAGGCCGCTGTTTTCTTGGTTGGTACTATATACGAGCTTCATGTCCAGTGGATACAGCTTCACAGTTACTCACTACAGGCTTAGTAGCGGACCACCTGAAGCCGTACAATGGCAATTGAAGATATCATATGCATAGTTTGGTAAACTGCTAGTTGACTTCTTCGACAAAAGCCCCGATCTTCTCCTGGAGGTCGCGGGCTTGACGGTAATAATATCAGTGATGACTTCGCCATTCTTGTAGAGAAGGAATGTGGACAACAGGGGGCTATCTAGCTCGTTACTGACATCGGGGAACTCCTCGAACTCGATCCTGTTGAACTTGACATTAGAGAGTCGCTTGCTGAGCTCGGCAACAGGGCGGATTATGAGCTTAGAGGGATGGCTCAATTGGCGAAGTAAACGAGAACGATGGCGTCCTATGACTAGGCGATTCTTTGATAGACAATTAGCGATGTTACGGTTGGAAGCAAAAGAGGAGTAGAGTCAAAGACAGGGAGTCCTACGAGGTAAGTTCAATAAGATTGCCGTAGTCAGCCACGGCCAAAACGAAGGATAATTAAAATTCTAGTGAAGCCAAGGGAGAGGGAAGTGGTTCATAAGAGAAAGATATGTGGAAGTGAACCAAGTAGCTATGATAAAGGTGATGACTGGTCACGAAATGTGAGAAGCTCACCACCATGGTCATCCTTCTCAGCAAAATATGTCAATCATCAGGACCACCCTTAGCGATCCTTGTCCGATACGTCACAAACCTATCAGGTATTCATCAGCGTTCTAGGCTAGGATGGTAGGCATAAATTACTATAGAAAGTGAAACATTGGGTATGTATGATAAGGAATATATAATGTTTAGGTGGACTTTCCAGTCCAAGTCTATAAAATACTCTAGAGAAATGGAAGAGCTATCTATGCAAGGATCTTATATAATGTTTACTCCATAACACTTTACTGCCATTAGCATCCAATTGAGCATACGTCAGACTTTTATAGTCCTCAGCTATCACGGGCCTCGAACCCCAGATTTGTCATCACCTCTTGAGCCCCGATAATATTAATTCAGATGGCCATTTAACCTCAGCCTTCATCAGTCACACAGCTTACAATGTCAGAACTTCGCCAGCGACCAACAGCTGCAAGGTCTGAAAAGACCGAGATACCACAGCGCAGAAGGTCATCCGACAATGACGGAGATCACGGTATCAGTTTGCTGGACATGATTCGGGTCATTGTGACCCTGATCGTGGCCTCCTGCGGTCTGTCTTACTACATGACCTCGACAGAGTCCATGCTATGGGGTTATAGGCCGTGGTTTACGCGATGGCCGGTGGTGAAGCAGTGGGTGGTACGTACATCCCCTCACAATTTGATTCCCCACAATATGCCTACAGAAGAAGCGGTCATGGCGAAGAATGAGAAGACTAACATATCTTTGAATGAAGAATGGCCCGGTAAACCTCACACCAGCTCAATTATCCCTCTACAACGGCACAGATACCACCCTCCCCCTCTACCTCGCCGTAAATGGGACCATCTACGACGTCTCTGAGAACCGAATGATCTATGGGCCGGGTGGGAGCTACAATTTCTTTGCTGGGCGCGATGCCACGCGCGCTTTTGTGACGGGCTGCTTTAAGGACGACCTTACGGCTGATATACGCGGCGTGGAGACTATGTTTGTGCCTGTTGAGGATGTCGTTGACGAGGCTCTTACTTCTGCGCAGAAGAAGATCCGTCGGGAGAGGGAGCTACGGGCTGCTAAGGCGAAGGTTGAGGCGACCGTCAAGAAGTGGCAGGGCTTCTTTGCGAATCATAAGAAGTATTTTGAGGTCGGGCGTGTGGTTGATGGGGTTGCGGATGGGAAGGAGTGGCCGCTCTGTGAATCTGCCGAGAAGCAGCGGCCGAAGAGAAGTGCGATGAAGGAGAAGTCGTAGACTACTTTGTATCTGTATCTGTATCTGCATCTGTTGAATAGTCCAGTCGAGGCCAGGTGAAAAGGCACAATCTACGAATCGGATCACGAATTTCCTTTCAAGAAGTTTTGTAGATTTTTTGATTCAGTTCGCACTACTTGGAGTAAACCAGGAGCGCGAATGTTCCACACTCTTCGAGAGTCAGACGTTAAACCAACATGCATCACGCCCAGCCGAGCTTCCCATGGTGAAATGATATCATTCGTAGCAAGGAAAAAGAGAACCGCGAGAGAAAAGACGAGAGACGAAACGTTTACTCGGCGGTGACGGCGCGGGCTATTCGATGTTAGTTTGGGTCGTTGCGGTAGGGTATGGGGTATGGGGTCTGAGAAACGCACTGTAGATGTTCATGCTGGAGTGGCCGACAACCTTCTTGATCTGACCGTTGGCCTCGAGGTCAGCGAGAGCCTGGCGGGCCAAGCTGCCGTTGATCTTGAGACGGTCGACAAGGGTGGCGACGGTGATCAGACGGTAGGACTGAACATCCTTCTGGAGCTTCTCGGCGGTGGTCTTGTCGAGAACGACGGCGTGCTGGGCCTTGTCCTTGACTGTAGGCGAAATATAAGTCAGTATTCTGTTCGCTCGTATCCCACGATTCCTCTGGTTGATGGATCGGAAATCGTCACGGTCGCACGGATGGAGGTTGCGTACCCTTGCCCTTGGACCACTTCTTCTTTTGCTTCTTGCCACCGGTAGCTGCTGCGGGCGCCTGATCACATTTCAATTAGCTGTGTTGGTTGATATATTGGATGCTGGGTGCTCACCATTTTGATGTTTGGGTGGATGTTCAAAGGAAGAGAGCGACAGCCAGAAGCCGCTCAAGTGCGAAAATGCAGTGGGGCGTGACTGAGTCGAGCCCTAAGCCCTTGGTCGGTTAGTGCTGTTGATGTGATTGGCGGTTGATGATTATGTCATGATTTGATGTCATCCATGGATTGCTGCCTAAGGTGTTTGATATCTTTACCATCTATGATTATCATTCTTTGGAATTGTTTATAGTCGCCATTGGACTATTGGAACTTTTCGCCGGACATTTGAGATTGAAGAAATGCTCCAATTTCCCTTGAAGTTGACAACGGACACGAATCGCCTTGGATATTATTTGTGTCTATGCGAAAGCAAATAACCAATTGTGGCTACGTCAACTGTGGATTCATGAAGAAGAGCATCGAATCCACATGAGTTTCTCGTGAGATTTGAGAGAGGTTCTAGTGAATGATACTTTGAGGACTAATTTATCGCGTGATGGGCTTATCCTAGGGCATGATAAAGGACTTTAAAGATGCCCAGATGGTTAGTAGTTGAGGGTTGAATAGGCCTTGTGATAAGGGTGATGGGGCAAGTATTGGACTACCGTGCACTTAAGACTCTTTCGTCTTCTTGAAAGAACGAAGGGACAAAGCCATTCATATTCCTCTTTGTCCTTGATATAGCCTCTACGCTTGAGCCGCATACCGTGCCATGGTAGTCATGAAAGGCTTTTTTTTCGCAGGAAAGTCGAATAACTGTTATGTATGATTCAACATGGTACTAGCTAGCTTGCTGAAGTATATAATGGCCCTCGCTGCCTTACATTCATACCTCGGCACCACCTTCTCCTCATTATCCTCATCGTCACTAGTACACTATCCATCATGACAAGGACAAACTCTCGCAGGTATATTCTAACTCCGAATCATGCCCCAACACACAGATCAAGGCAAAATGGCCCCGGGCCCGGTCAGCCATAAGGGTATGTATACTCGCGACGTAACTGTTGTTCCAGAAGATTTGTGTATGGCTCGTCCCGGTCTATCGACCCAGTGGATTACCGTGTGGTTTAATGAAAAGAGAAGCAGACTACATGACCAAAATCTACTGACGCTCATGCTAAACAGGATTCATGACAAAGTAGCTGATATAGGCACTGCTAATCTTCATCACACTCATATGTGTTGTATTTCAATCCAGTTTTCGTAAAAGCGCCGGCTGGGAGCAATTCAATATCTCAATTTTCAGTCAATAAAAAATTTAAAAAGGAAAATAATCATGCAAACATAGCAGACCCCAAGGCCTTGGAAGACGTAGAATATTGTAAGTATATAACATAAAAGAGATCACCAATAACTCAGATGCTGGAATGAAGATATATCTTAGAATTTTAGATTCAAGGCTAGGAGCGTCTCTATATATCCTCTAATCATTCGGCCATTGTATCTCACATAAAAGAAAACTGCTTTTTACCTTTTAGTCTCAACACTTAAGCTGCAATCATCCGGCTATGTCCATGAGAATGAGCATGTTTATGGTCATGCTTAGGGCCGAGATACTCGCTGACCCGGTGCGTCCCTTGCGCCTGTTCCTCCTCTTCTTCCTCAACCTCAAAAGCAGGCCATTCCTCCCAACCATCTTCCCACATCTTAGCCAACTTATCGCTCTTCTCCTCTCTGCTCAGCTTCTTGTTCTTCATTACCTTTTCCCACTTCTTCATGTCCTTATCGTCAAGGAGACACTCATCAAGCAAAGCACTGATCTTAACCTTGTCAATCCCCTCACCGATAAACACAAGCTCCTGGCGCCGATCACCCCAAGGCCCTTGGAAATCATCCTTGATGGACTGTCGCACATCTTGATCTTCAGGCCAGGCTTCATCAGGGACTTCGGCGAACCAAGGTCCACCACAGCCGACGGTCATCATACCGCCTGCTTGGCTCCATTCGCCAAATTGCCATGGGCGAGTGGTTAGCCAGAAGAAGCCCTTGGAGCGTAGGACTGGTCCAAATGCTGGGTGTGCTCTCTTGTTGTTGAGGATGTCGTTTGGGTCTGGTTGGTCGAAGTCTTCCACTGATTCGGTGTCTGTTTCCATTGCATCTTCGTCTTCGTCTCCGCCTTCTTCCATTTCGTCATCTTCTTCTTCGACTTCGTTGTTCTGGAGAATGATAAACTTGTCATGGAGAAGGGCGAAGATGCGACGGGGATGGAATGGTCGACGAGCCGTGTAGACGAAGTTGTTTATACCATACCTGTGACAACTTTAGCGAATATCTATCAACAGGGGTGGTAACAAGGAATACTAACTCTAAGGTCTCTGGCTTGGGCGCCATGCGATCACCATTGCCGGTTTTCTGAACAGTCATCTCGTGCAAACTACGAAGCCATCCAGCACCAGACGCAGCGCGAACAAAGTCAAACTTGTTTGTATCGATGATCTGACGAACATCCACTTGTGAGTAACTTGACTCGAGGATTTTTGCATCTGGGTTCAACAACTTCAGCAACTGCATGATCTTGTCCCGAGTGGCTTGGTCAACTGTCTCGATCTTGTTAAGAATCAACACATCGGCGAATTCGATTTGATCAACCATGAGATCGGAAATTGTGCGTTCGTCCTCGGGAACAATTTCGTCTTTCCCGTATCTATCAGAAAGGAACTCTGTTGTGTCGAAGTTGGATAGCAGATTGAATGCGTCGATGACGGTGACTGTTGTATCCAGTCGGGCCATGGTGTGTAGGCCGCCCAGTTCCACACTATATCAAGACATGTTAGCTTGTGAGACACGGACAAGGTATATCTGGGATCATACATTTCATTCAGGATCTTCTTTGCGTCGGCATCGTTTTCAGCTGCAATTTGACCCTCAGCCTCCAACATGGCAGAGCTGAACTCAGCTGTGAAAGTCTCGGCGACTTGCATGGGTTCACTAATGCCTGTGCTCTCGATAATGACATAGTCAACTTCATTCTGCTTGGTCAAGCTTGCCAGCTCAGAGAGCAAGTCCCCTCGGAGGGTACAGCAAATACATCCGTTTTGGAGCTGAATGAGTTTCTCGGTTGTCTGGGAGACTTTGTGGTTTTTGATGAGGGCAGCGTCGATGTTCAGCCTAGTAGAAGGGACAATAAGTATATGGTTTGTGTTGGTCATGCAATTGTACACTTACGAGCTCATATCATTGACAATGACTGCGACTCTCAGCCCGTGGTCCGGGGACTTGAGAATATGCTTGAGGAGAGTGGTCTTGCCACTTCCCTGTGCAAGAGTTATTCTTGTTAGCCATGCTCACAAACCAATCGTATTTGAATCATACCAGGAATCCCGAAAGCAGAGTTACAGGCATTTGCCGAGTCTTAGGCTGTTCCTCGGGAGTTGGGACATGATAGTCGACGCCATCTCTTCCAGAATCGATGACCATAATGACAGTGTTTTCTCAATGCGTATACCACTTGAAAGAGAAAGAAAAAGATTGAAAAGTCTAGATACTCATGAAACCTAGGATATAATACACGAAACACCTTGCGGGCAACTCTTTTTATCTCCCCCTGGGCATCGCCTCCAAGTTCCTCACCCTTTGACGCTGTTAGTTATATTTGCTATGTAGTACAGATACCAATACAGGTCCCCCAAGGTGGAATAGATACCAGTGGGGCCATGGCCAGTCCAATGAACTATAGTACGCAAAGTACCGATGATAAATGCTGTGTTCTGTGTGGCTGGCGTAGACAGTCCGCAAGGTACCTGGTTGACGCCGCTGACTTTCACGGTCCTCATTTGACGGCATGGCTTTGAAATTGAGTATTAAGTCTTCTTTGATTGGACTGTTGTGTAATCCTTGCAGGCTTGTCTTCGTAAAAAATGGGTTTACGGGATTGGGTGGCCAGATGTAGGGCTAGACGAGAGAGCTGACTTGCGGGAATGCACCACATACACCCATTTAAATCCCCAGAAACAGACGATAAACAGAATCTACCACTATGAATCAAGCAGTAAGGTTCAAAATATTCGATTGGACATATTCAGTCCTTGCAATCAGCAGCCTTGCACACGCTGTGATCACGTAATCCTCCGCCCTACGTCGGCGTTCAGCAATAAGACCTGCTATCAGCGCCTTAACTTCACAACCTCACCAATTCCCATTCCAGCTTAAGGCGATTAGGGCGGAGGAAGCTGCGAATAGGAAGAGTAGCTGATTGTCTACTTGTCCATCGTGAAGAAGTGTTCTGAATGTACACGAGGTATCTGCATTGGAAAGGACGGCATTTCAGTAGTCTATGGAATGTCTAGAAGCCAGCCGGGGATCGCTCACGATCACCAGGGCCATGTAGGCCTGCGCCGAGGTTCTCTGTGCACTCGCTTTGCCAGTTCTTCGGGGTAAACTTGTCAACAATCGACTTGAAAGCATCCAGGGTACAGAACGTCTCGTCGCCAGGTAGGTGGTTCTCGGGCTTGGCGGCGCAGCCGGGGATAGTGACAGGGCGGTCATTGTAGCGGAGGCGAACATAGTGCTTCCGAAGGGATTCCCGGGAGGCATCGGGAAGGGACGAGATAGGTGCGCGTGCTGTGTCGGATGGGGTGGGTTGCTTCGGTGCGGACTTTCCGAGCAGCGAGGAGAGGACACCGCGCTTCTTGGAGACAGATGGGTTGGAGAACTCCTCAAGCATAGTTCCGGCGTTGGCGTCGGAGCGAGGAGCCTGTGAGAAAAGCTCAACTGCAATAGACGAAGTGAAAGGAGGCCAGGACTCGTTCTGGAATCCGCCGACACTAGACAGAATGGCTGCGAGGGTGGTGTCGTGGCATCCGCTCATGGCGAACTTGATAGCCTTGCCAGTCTCGGGGTTACCGGACCCAGAGGCAGCGCTCTCACTGCGCCATCCGCCCTCAACAGCAGTACTGACCATGCGGTCAACGACATCACCCATGAGAGCACCAATACCCAACTTGCGGTACTCCGCGCTCTCACCGTAACCGGCAAACCACTCTTCGACCGAGATGCGGTCTAAAACAGCACGACCCTTCTTGTCATAGAACTCAGATGGAAGCTTAGTGCTTGGTCCATGGGCATCAGTAGCATTGATGGTATCCATAATACCAGAAAGACGAGGATGAGCATCAACAGCAACCCTAGGCGAAGCCTCGGGCATGTACTTAGACCAAAGGCCGTTCAGGTATGCCATTTGTTCAGAGTCATTCCCTATTAAACATTAGCAACGATTACCCAGCATCCTAACCGGCTGATCAGCACGTACATCGTTCCGCGGCACGATCGGCAAAAAGCCGAGCCAGCTGTCGGAATCGTTTACAATTCCCTTCATTAGGGAAAAGAGTCTCCTCAGAAACCTGTCGAGCTACAATAACTGGGGGTGGGAAGTCAAGCGTGCGCGCGCTGGCAGGGTACATTCCCCAGAAGGCCTCCTGGAGCGACTCCAGCGCGCGGGGGATCGGCGTAGCGCGCAGGTACATGTCCTCGGCATCGGACTTGATCTTAGGCATGAACCCGAGCTGATCCACATAAAGATGGCGCAGTCGCTGTCCGAGCGCATATGTCGTCTCGCGACCCTTGTCTGTGAGCTCGCCGTGCAGGCTTGAAATCGAAATCGAAATCCGTCAGTACTCCGTATAGCTTCCCAAGGTACTCCGTACCCCGGACTCCGGTGGAAGAGCTCCTCTTAGAACATACCACATGGCCTCGATTTCCCCGCCCGGTCCTGGTGCTACCACTGACTCATCATTGCTGCCGAATGCTTCCATTTTCCGGCGCCATTGGAATCCGTTCCATGTTGAGAGGTCTTTACTGCTAGATGCCATCTGCACCATGCGTCTTGCGACGCCACAGTATGGCCAGTCTTATGGTGATCAGTTCATCGTTTTTGTTCAGATCAGATCGGTTGGGATGGTTCGCGTACATGGACTTAGGCCTGTCTTGGAGAAGTGTCAGCGGAAACCGTCGGAGATCGCGGTTGGGTATCAATGGAAGCATACATTTGAGAATCGTGAGGAAACAGGCGTGCGTTCGCCTGGGATCGGTTAGATTTGTTCTTTGAAAATGTATACCTGTGAATGAGCTTCTCACCATGGCGAAGGAACTATGCTGGTTAGCCACGGTCGTTGAGTCAATTGGGGTCGGGATCACGTACAACTTGGACCAGCTGGAGCTTCAAGCTCTCAGGATAGAGACGAGCGAGCTCATCCTGAGAGTATGGCTCACGGGGAATGAGAGTGGTCATCTTGCAGACCAGAAATAGGAAGTACCTGGGAATTTACAAGATGTAGGGAGGGAAGTCCGGGGAGTATGAGTGTCTAGGCCGTGGGGCGGTGAGGGGGCGCTAAGTGCCAGTTGGGGTAAGGCGATAACTGATAAGTATATAAATATATGTATATGTGAACTATACGGCGAGAGGAATATAGAAGTAGAGAGAAGAGCCGATTGGTGCGGAGTTCTTGCTTTTATTTTGTCAAGACACCTAGATCTATGACATCTCCGCACCCCAGCTTATTTGCCGCTCCTTGCGTCAGATGCTATGTAAAATGCAGCGTATTCACAGTATGGTATAATATGCAGAGGCTCCAAATATTACTCCTCGTAATCACTTGTCTCCCATCCAGCTTCACTTTCGCTTGCGCTCCAGACAGACCGAGCATTCGAGTCAGTGGCTGGAACATCATCGGTTTCAACTGTCGCCGCAGCAGCAGCCGCCGCAGCGCCAGCAGCAGCCATTTGCTTGGCCCATTTTTTATTGGTCTTCGCCTTGCGAGCATTCTCTTCTTCCTGGCGGACCTTCTTCAACCGCTCTGTTTCTTCGATGGTTGCGCGTTCCATTAACTCGACGAGTTTCTCAAGCGCCGGCGCGTAGGCCTGGGCGAGCGCGAAATCTCCGACCTTGATGCGCATGTAGTCCATCGCTCCAGTGATGAGACCACCATAAGGCTTGGATTCGTGTCGCATCGCTGAGCCGAGATCATCTGGCAATGGCGTGTCACTCACGGCAGCTGATTGGTCTTGGGGATCATCGAATGGGATATCTGCATCGGCGGGTTCCTTCGCGCCTGCGTCACGGGTAGACTGGGGTGCATCTGCCTTACGGTTGTCGACAAAGGTGAGCTTCTGGTAGCGCTGACTGAAATGCGTGAGCAAGATGGCACGCGCTTGCATGCGGCGGCCGACTTCGATGGCCTCTGCGGAAGTCGAGTGGCGCTTGGCTATGGCGGATCCAACCATATCGGGTCCGAAGGTGGCTTCGTGGATGAGGACTGTTGATCCCTGGCCGATGGAGGCGAACTTCGCGGATGGTCTACAGTCGCCGGAATAGGAGATCTTGAATCCATGCGGGAAGACGAGAGACACGGCGAGCGCACCCTTGCAGTGCTTGACCCGGCAGGTGAGTAGGTTTTCAAGGCCTGTGGCAGACTTGAGAAGAGAGGTGAGTGGAGAGAATCGGTCATTGAAGGACATTGAGGTGCGATGACCGGAGAATACATTGTCAGGCCGATGACGGTATGAAAACTCTGTGATTATTTGAGAGCCGGATACTTCGGGGTGTGCAGACAGAGGAAGGACTTTATCGAATCCGAAGTCTTCAACAGCGGAGTACTCCTCCAGCCAAGCGATCATCGCATCATCCGATACGACGGACAGGCGCTTCTCTTGGAGGATCTTTGCGAGATCAGTCTCAGGCTGAGCAGGGGCGGGATTGAGGCCATAGTTCTCCTGATACCAGGCTTTAATCACGGAGGCCGTGCCTAGGTGGTGATCAGCATGCAAATGACTGATCCAGATCATGCGCAGGTTCTGGAACACCTCGCGAAGCTCCTCAGGCTCGAAGACTCGCTTCAATTGACCGAGAGTATTTTCACCACAGTCCAGAAGGTAGTAACCATAACCAGGCACCTTAACAAGGTTTGCGGAGACATTGCGGTATTTGGATGGAATAGAGGAACCAGTGCCCAGGGCGATAATCTCTGCATCCGATCCAGGCCATTCCGTGCGCTGGGCATGGAGCATCTTTTGGAACGCAGGCTTGGCGATACGCTTGCGAATGACTTCCATCCGTTGCTCTACAGAACGTGGAATCTTATGCAGGGCCTTTGTCGGATTGAAGCGGGACATCACCTCGTCCGTGTTAAAGCCGAAGTTGGGCTCCATGTTGATGATGAAACCAGGTTCGATGGGCTCAAGAGGAGACTTCTCCCGGGCTGCGATTGCAGATGCTGAACCGGCATTCGGGGCACCAGGCTGAGGCAGAGTCACATTGTCATGCACGGGAACTGAATAGCTGCTGCTGTTCAGACGTGCGAGTCGAACGGTCGAGCTAGCAGCGCTACCCAATGCCAGGTAGTTAGGTGTGTGGTCTGTACCTGAGACAGTGTGTTTGCAGTCGGGGAAGCTGGCGACGAATTCCTGGAACTTGGGATGTTCAGCAACACCCGGTCCAAGAATCCAGATGAAGGCTTTCAGCTCGGTAGTCACAGCAGGTGACTTCCATTCAGGCTTGTTCACCAGGTCGTCCACATACTCGGGTGAGGGGACTTCCATGATGGCAATACCCTTTCCAGGTCGTGGAGCTCCCAGCACCATATCTGGAGTGATGGTATTTCCATCCAACGACTGGACATTCTGGCCCTTTGTCAGAGCTGCATATTTAGCTCCCTTCTCCACATTCAATTCTTTCGCTTTATTGGGATCGAACTTTCCGCGAATATCATGGTTCCGCACGATATAGCAGACTGCCTCCTTAGAGGGAGAAGTAGGTGGGAGACTCTCGACCGTAGCACCAGGCCAGGGCTTTCGAACAAGGACCTTGATATCAGGGAGGGGTTCTTGATCCCCCGGCACTGGACCTTTGTATGGCTCAAGATCCTTCGTCACGGGATTGCGAACAAACATGGCAGCGGGCATTTTAACCTCAGACAACTGGGTTTCGAACAGGGTATCCATCTTCCATGTTGAATTGAACATATCCTGCACAATGGACTGTCTCACCATCTGATCCTTGGTGCGTTGGTCCAGATAATCTGTGGGTTGTCCAGACTCCTTGAACTCATCCAAGCTCCGCTTCCGTGGGCTGCTAGACCTCTGCGTGGGCCTAGGACTAGCTGAGCGAGGCTTAATAGACATAGCCCATACCTTAATGTTGGAGTCTTCCCATGAAGGCGTCTGGAAGGGATCTTCAGCACCGATAGCTGCTTGCTTGGCAAGGCTCTCGGAGTCGTACTCTTTCAAGTAAACGGGCATGCCCTTGCGGAAAACAAACCGCCGAGCTGTAGCCAGCGTATGCGTAAGATTCGTAGGCCCGTGAATGGTCAGGTTCCCCTTTTGTTCCACAAGCTCACCATCCCGCTCAACATAAGCCACACCGTGTCTCTCGTCCTTGTTGTCTGACAATTTCTGAGTCTTCTTGTTTTTCCTCGAAGCCTCAGCGGCCTCTCTTTCAGCTCGACGACGGGCCTTGTTCCGGTTCTCCTCTTCAATGGCCGCAGCTGAAGTCGCCACCGTATCGGCCAGCGTCAAGATCATACCAATCAACCCGCCCGTGTTGGCCCAATCTGTCCGCCCAGTGACGAATACATCGGAAAGGTAACCGAGCTTCACGCCGCGTTCGGTGCATGCGCGCTGTGTGCCTTCAGCTAGCTGTCCGAAGAAGTATCGCTTGTCCGGGAAGTTGAGACAGAGGACCGTGCCGGGCGTGTCGGCCGTCGGGGTCGTGATGACCTGGTAGAAGAACTTCATTGGTCTGGCACCTCGCTGCTCTGGAGGAGAAGAGGTGATTTCGAATTTGGACGGTTCGCAAATTAAGTAGTCTTCGGACTTGGAGCGTCGATGGTGGACGAGTGGGGCAGGAATAATCAACGCGCTGGGGTGGACTGCCGGTTGTCTGATTCGTAGAGGCTGGGCTTGTCGGATTGGTGCCTGGTGTAAGAAGCGTCTCGAGCGTAGTGAGTCACCGTTCGTGGCACAGCTGATGCGGTACGTTCGAAGGGTCAAAGGTGATGTCCGAGGGAGCGCACTCCAGGCGATCTCGCGAGTGGCCGTGGGAAACAGGGCACCGCGCGCTATAAGGGAAGCCAACTTGGCTGGTAGAAAGCGAACTGAGGGGAAATAAAATGAAACCCCGTCGCAACCTGGCAGCATTGACGGTTGGTGGATCCCGTTGAAAAAATAGCGACCGATTTTGCGCGATGGCCGGGGCCATGTTGAACGTCAACTCCTATAGTGACTGGCTAATATCTATTGCCTGCTATATTCACTGGGTTTTCTGGTTTATAGCGATAGGATCGCAGTAGTATATATAAGCCCTGGTGCAACAGTGTCGAACCCAGGAGAAATAGGTTTACTGATGCTGCCTTCGTACGAAGGATTTATAGGAGATATTGGGACAAGAAATAGTGATAGTAATTGACAAACATTCTATTTGGCTAAGCTACATTCAAGAAAAGAAAAAGGAGCACAGGCTATGCGAAAAAGACAATCATATGGCCGTAATTATCAAGGGTTGGACTTTTGCTCCACAGTACCTTGTATACGCCAGGAGAAACCACTCCAGATATTCCACCCAGAACCATCGCGGGAGATACACGATATAATGAAGATAGGCGCCTTGAAACTCCCCGATATTTGAAAATTTGAAAAAAGACTGGTCCGCAAAATAGAGCACAAAATTTCACCGTGGGGAGTATGGTATAGTCACAAGGCGATGACAATAAGTCAGGGTGCCGAGTAAAAGGAATCACATGTACAAAGAAAAGAAGGCCGGAGAGGCAGGACGCGAGTGGGGAATCACTGAAGGTAGGAAGTGACAGCAGACACACGCTCGAAGGCGGCGTCGATGCTGAGGCAGAGGGAGTCGAAACGTCTCTTGGCAGCGGTGCTGACATCAGAGTTATCGACGATGAGTTCAAACTGGGACGCCTTCTCGCTGGTCACACCCTCGAAGGTCAGGTCGGAAGCGGGCGCAGGAGAGTCAACAAAGAGAGCAAAGGCAGGGTCAGACTCGTCAAGTTCGACATCGGGGTTAGCGACACCAATGTCGGACTGGGGCGAATCGGAAGCAGGACGGCTGACAACGGGGGCGTCGTTCTTGAAGTTCTCGGCAAGGCCAATGGGAGACGACTTGCCGGAGAGAACATCAGTGTCAAGAGCAGGGCCCTCGGGGACCTCCATGACAGCGAAGACGGAGGCGTTGCCAAAGTTCATGTCGATGCCAGAGTTCCAGCCAGCGTTGTTCATACCCATGTTAGGATCCATGCCCTGGTTGGGGACCATGACGATGTTGGCCTGGGGGTTCTGTTGCATCTGATACTCCTGGCCGCGGTTGGCGTTGGACTCTTGAGGCATAGCCTGCATGGAAGGCTGAGGTTGGGGCTTGGCCTGCTGGGGTTGCTGCTGCTGCTGCTGTTGTTGAGTTTGCTGGGGGAGGGCGGGTAGGGTGTCGCCCATGTCGTTGAGGAAAGAGGAGAAGTGGGGAGATCCCAGGAGCATTCGGGCGAGGTCGTTCAGGCGAGCATTTTCTTCGTAGAGAGCGCGGTTCTGCAGACGCACTTCATGGGCCTCGTTGGTGCGGGCGGCCACCTCGCTTTCGAGCTGACCAATGTATTCTAGTTATAGAAATTAGCGAAAGAAAGTGATAAATAGATTCAAGTGGTCGTACCCTTGCGACGAGATCGGAACGCGCGAGCAGAAACCTTGTTCCGCAACTGACGGCGCTCCTTGCTGCTGAGCTTCTTGCCCTCCTCGCTGGCAAGGAGACGCTCATCCTCATCCATATCGGCCTCATCCTTGCGGGCCTTGGCCATCTGGGGCATGCCGTTGGATGGGGTGGGAGAACCCTCGCCATTGGCCATGGCATTGGCACGCATCTGTTGAAGCAGGCGAGAGATACGCTCCTCAACCACAGGGTCAGGGTTGCGAGGACCACGAGCCTGAGGCATAGCAGCAGGAACTTGTTCCGGGCGCTGCTGCATCTGGTGGCGGACCATCTCGCTCTGCTTTTGTTGCTGGGCCTTGGCCATAGCGGCCTGCTGGTGCATACCAGGGTACATACGACCGACCTGCGTGGATGGACCAGCCTGAGCCAGCTCGTGGCCGCCAATAGCGCTAGGATCAACATATTGGTTCTTGTTCCCGGGTTGTGCCTGGTAGAAGTAGGGCGAAGAGTTCATGTTGTCGGATTCGATATCCATCTCCGATGGGTTCCGGCCCGGTGCGGCATTGAAATCGAACGGTGCCTCCTCACGCTTCATGTGATGACCGGCATACACATCACCGTTCATGGGGAATCCCTGGCTGTTGTTGAATCCCATGGGGATCTGGTTGTAGGTCATGGAGAGCGCACCGGGTGGCAGACCAGTTTGTTGTCTGTGCTCATCGTACTGGTGACTAGGAGCCTGGAAAGCGAGTGGGGACTGTCCACTTGATGCGAAGCTGGCACTGCGGGCATCGCTGGCGCTGAACTCGGTACTTGCGACCGACGGTTGGCTGGTCATGGTGATCTTGGAGCGGGCAGGGTCGGATGTGTAGGTGAGTTGATCCATGTTGATGAAGGAGTCGAGGTCTTGGTCGTAACTAGCGGTCATCATAGGCATGGGCGAGGCGGAGGGTTGCATGGGATGCTCTGCGAGGGTTGCCATGGTGAAGATGATAAGCCTATCTCCCAACTACTGTAGGAGAGGCTATATGAGTTGGTGGGTAGGTAAATCGGTGAATAGGTGAGGTGATCGGTGATGGGTAAGCGAGGGAAATAGATATAGATAAAATATTCCAAACGAGAGAAAAGTAGGATTTAATGATAATGAAAATGAAGCCAAAGAGGAGAACCAGGGAAACAGGGGAAGGAGAGGTCCGGAATAGAAATCGGATTGCGCGTCCTTTCAGCTGAATCAGCGGGGCCGAGGAATGTGACCCCGTGATTGGCTACAGCATTACCTTGAAATAGGGCTTGTTTACCATACCGTATCAAGGGATACTCACGATTCTGTATATCACCACATTTGAACATTAGCATTAACACTAGTGATTGTCTAATGTTTTCTTCAGGACTAACGATCAACTAACTGTCCACCAATCCATTCTCTTGATCAATAGCTACAGCATAGTTGTTAATACTATTTACAGAGTGGGTCAATCTCCATGAACCATTGCCTCTTATTGGTTCGGGTAACTTGAGACTTGGAGATTCCTGGTATTGTATTGTACTGAGTGCTTGTGCCTATTCATGACGCAGGTGGCTGTGCTGTCTCTGTTTACACCCACCTACGCTTTTGTATAAATGACACACATTCCTTAAGAAATAACATAAATGTATGTGCATAGCGACACCCTTTCGTAGTGAACTCAATCAAATAACTGGTTGGCACTAGGGGTGACTATCATCACTATGGTTAGTGTCAATAGGGGAACTAATTCGGTGCCGTAGTCCTCTTTAGGCAGGCTATACGGCAGATAAGCCGCTACTGTAATTCAGATGCTTGCCTCTCTCGCCCTGGCGAGACAGAAACCGTGGTCCAGAACACATATGTGAATGCACCTCGTCACGGTGAAACTAGGGTGCAGCTAGTCCAGCGCATCCACGGGAGTGATCTGTTTCATCACAGGGATGTACGTTCCGGCGTCTCGCCCTGTACGCGAGGCCACAACCACGGTATACCGGAGCAGATGGATCCGTCTGAAAAGTTGGACAATAAGCTTTAGCAGAGTTCAAGCGGGTCAGCTATAAAAGAATCTCAAACGGCAATCCTGGACAATTCGGGCGACTTCCGGATTCACGTGATGCGGCTATTGCTAATATGGTTAGCTTCTCCGAGTTTATTCGGAGTCTATATTTTCAGACTCAAACTGTTGATCTTTTTACTTTGTGCGCCCTGTATTTTGATATTTCTCTACTTCATACAGTAGTGGATATATCTTGGCGCCCTAGAACCTTCTTTTTCCAATCCTTCAACCTGTGTATTTCGATCGCTAAGACCGATGGAAATGCGTGGCGGAATAGATCATACCCGCTTGTTTCAGTGAGTCTCGACTCTCGGAAGACCCGCTGCGCCCAGTGATCGTCCAGGGCTGAGACGGAGTTACAATTGATCCCCGGCCGCGTCAAGTGACCGCGTGCAAAGAGGCTGAGCGAAAGCGCCTGCCACAGCCCGAAGTTGTCGTGTTTTTTATATTTAATAATAGACTATGTAAGTCCCTGTGGCGATCTCTGGCGCTGATATATGACCGATAATTGATGGCTTGGAGTACTATGAATTAATGTGTTCCTGGTCCGGGCATTAAACCGAATCTCGGTGAACAATGGTTAGGGCTTCGGTTCGCGCCCCCGGCCGGCAATTCTTCGCATTTTCCACGAGCTGATATTTATCAGACTGACTTCACGCGTTCACTGACGAGTATTACAGTTGATATCTGCTATCCGTGATTTTATCATAATCCACACTGCAATTGTCTGCAGTGTCCTACAAATGCATATAATGACATTGGTCTAGATCAAATTTTCCCCATGTCCATAGTCTGGTTGTCTGACGACTCCCTCATTTGAAGACCCGCCGTTTCCCTGATCACCCAGGCCCCAAGACCCTTCGTGCTTCTTTGGTTATCTGACGAGTCTTCGTAGACCCGCGTTTCGGAGCGAGTGGGTATGTTCGAGACGCTTGAACCCTTTGATCTAGATGCTGTGGATAGATCTGGAATTAAGGTCTAGATCTAGATTTACACCTAATCGTGGAAAATAGAAGTGTTTTTCTGTCCAGCTCCACTGTTGATCTGGACTTTGCTCTGCCTTTGGACTCGACCTGGATTTCCCTGGCCATGCGCAATGTGGAGCGAATGAGCAGATTTCCACGCGTTGCTACTGACTGGACTCTTCAGAACTAACGTGACAACATGTGTGATGAGTTCAAATTCCCTAGGGATATTCTAGACCTTTGTCCTCGGTGAATATTGGTGAATGATATCATAGCGTTGAAGTTCTAGATATCAACTCCAACGTCTGCTATCAGACTTGCGTGTCCTTTATGCGAAAGCATTACTCAAACACTTCTCGTTGACTTATACAGTCCTTTTGGAAGTCGATGGCTAATCATGGAAAATAGCTTATACGACGACCTGACAACAATTGTGGAATAGCAAAGTGCCTACGCAATGTACTAGCTTAATTCCTAGTGTCAGGCGAGTCAGCCCCATAGCTGTATCGACAAATCATCAAAAGAGCATGGGCTGCAACCTAGTCCGAGGGGCTTAGCTCTCTGACTAGCCTTTTCCCCCGCCCTCAGCTAACTGGCTCAGTGACTGCTTATTTCTTCCTCAGATAATTTATATATTCATATACGCATTAAACCATTGTCACAACTCTAAACCAAACATAGAAATGACCAAAGCCAAGACCAGTGACTCACAACTATCCACACGTAGCACCAAGGACTATATAATTATACGCGAAACCGCGGCTTTGAAACGAGCGCGGCTCTCCCCGCAAATGACCGAGCAAGGAATGTGAATCGCGCCTCAGGCACCAACTACTTCCCCTTTCGGACCCCGCCATAGACGAGTTGACATCGAATCGATCGACTTTGATTTCCATGACTCAATTATGGTCATTTTCTGCCACTGTGGCACTCATCTTTCAAGGGGCTGTGCTGAGTTTGCCCTCTTTTAAAGTCCTGGTCTTCCAAGACTTACACTCCTGAGATCCCTATGGAATTCGCCTCCAACACTCGGATCTTTTGGACATAACAGCATCAAACACAAATACTTCAAATTAGCACTCAAAGCTATCATGTCCACACCGGCTATCCTAGCAACATGCAAACAGACACGGTTTCATCTGCTAGATGATAATCCTTCGAAGGAGGTACGACTGCACTTTATATATTTGTCGATCTGATCATTAACATGTCATCAATCCGTGACAGATCGACGTGGATGGATTGAATATCATCGTCACTTCTTCTGCAGCCGACTCCACTGAAGATGCATCCAAACCTAAGACCAAGGGTAAATCTAAAGCCAAGGCTGCAGGACGAGAGTTGATCTCGGATGCTCATTTACGATTGAAGGCTGGGGTTCATTATGGATTGCTTGGACGAAATGGGACTGGGAAGTCAAGTAAGATCGACGTCGAGACCTCGGAGTTTGTCAATATTGACATCTGCAGCTCTTCTTCGGGCAATGGCCGAGAAACTTATCCCTGGCATTCCACATGCCACTTGCATGGCGATCTTGCAGCAGACTGATGATCAGGATAATGATCTTGGCACAGCCCAAAGCCAGGACAAGACTGTTTTGGAATCTGTTCTTAGCAGCGATGAGACTCGGAATGAGGCTGTTCGAATGGTCGAGTGTATGTATCTCCAACAGATTCGCAGTTCACTTTAGCTGATTGGGATGGAAGACCTCTCAAAGAGCTTCGAGACTGAAGATCCCATGGAGCCTGTACGAGCCATTCGCAAAATCCGACATCAGAAAGCCGAGAAGCATCTCTTCCTGGCTCATAAGAATGCAAGCTTGAAGAGTGGTGCTCGCGGTCTCCAGGCGAGAAAGGATCTAAAAGCCGCCGAGGTTAAGCTTGAGACCGCATCGGAAATGTATGAAGTGAAATTTCCATACCAACGATCATAGCTGACATCACTAGGCTGGCACAGGATGTAGATGCTATTGAGGTGGAAACAGTCGCCTCAGATACCCAAGATGCCATTGAGACATTGCAAAGTCTACAATCTCAACTTGAAGACGTAGGTATTTGTACAGCTACACCCATCCATCCCACTGACATGAAACCAGATGAAACTTGCCGACATGGAGCAACAAGCCCGTCGAGTTCTTCTCGGTCTCGGCTTTAAAGAAGATGGGCTCGGAAAGAAGGTCTCCACGCTTTCTGGTGGCTGGCGTATGCGATGCATGCTAGCCAGTGTTCTAGTGCAAGATCCCGATATCATGATCCTAGACGAGCCAACCAATTTCTTGGATCTGCTTGGTGTGGTCTGGCTAGAGAATTACCTGAAACAGCTACGAGACACATCAGAGACAACAATCGTATTAGTCTCGCATGACCGCGATTTCATCAATGCGGTCTGTGAAGAGATTGTCATTCTCCGAGACCAGAAGTTGACCTATTTCCGAGGAAATTTGTCGGCTTACGAGCAAGACTATGAGGAGCAGAAGCTCTATCTGGGTCGCATGAAGGAAGCACAGGAGCGGCAGATTGCCCATATGGAGTCTAGCATTCGAGAGAACATGAAGATTGGGAAGAAAACTAATGACGAGAATAAGCTGCGGCAGGCTAAGTCGCGACAAAAGAAGGTTGATGACCGGATGGGTCTGCAAGTCAGCGCGAACGGTGGCCGTTTCAAGCTGAACCGTGACCTTGTTGGGTGGCACTTGACCAGTCGAGCGGAGATTGATGTTCCTGTGGATGAAAAGGGTGCGACTATGAGTTTGCCCGATGCAACTGAGCTGCGATTCCCTGGTCCATTGGTTTCACTTGAAGGGATTGTGTTTCAGTACAAGAAGGCCGAACGCGTCATCCTGGACGATGTGAACTTGGTCGTTCACATGGGTGATCGGGTTGGTATCATGGGTCTGAATGGATCAGGGAAAACAACTCTGGTCCGTATTTTGACGGGGCAGATCCCTCCTTCCAAAGGGAAGGTGTCAACTCATTCACGGTTAAAAGTGGGCTATTACAGTCAACACTCCGTGGAAGATCTGCAAGAACTTGGTCGAGGCCAGCCTAGTCTGACTGCACTGGGCTTGTTAATGGCTGAAACCGATGGTTCATGGAATGAGGGTACTGTTAGAGGTCTGCTCTCTTCCATGGGGTTAGCAGGTCGCATTGCATCCGATGTCCCCGTTTGCAAGCTATCGGGCGGACAGCTCGTAAGTGGAACAGCGATGTCTCATTTGAGCAAGCTAACATCGATCCAGGTTCGCCTTGCATTGGCCCGAATCGTCTGGAGCGCACCACAGCTTCTCATTCTCGATGAAATCACCACTCATCTGGATTTCCATACTGTCACTGCATTAGCTACCGCTCTCTCCTCTTTCAATGGCGCTGTTCTCTTGATTTCTCACGACCGTTTCCTTGTACGGTCTGTGATCGAGGGTAAGCGCGATACAGAGCACAAGCTCGATGAAGACTTTGAAGGATTGCAAGAGGAAGAGACCGAAGAGACGCAGCGACGTCGGTCAGTGTATGTGATCAAACAAGGCAAGATGAACGAGCAGAAGGACGGAGTGGAGCAGTTTGAGCAGAGCCTGGTGAAGCGGGTACAAAAACTGCTAGCAGTTTAGATAGCAATGACCAATTGAAATGAAAAAGTCAGTCAATACGTCAATACTCTGTCTGTACTGCTCTCAGATGGTCGAAGTCTGCGGGTGAGGCGGAAATTGATAAGCTCCCGAGATAGCGTGACTCAGCGCGGAGTCCGCCGCCCTCATTGAGAGGAATGTCCATGCGACCCCCTCATTCTCTCAACTTTTGCATATATTTGCCCAGAATGCCACTTTTTACCCCCTGAATGACGATGGCTGGACTGTGCAAGCGGATCCTGTGCCCCAGAGCCCTTGCCTGGGGCCCGAATAAGGCGATTCAGACTCGACTCCAAAGCACCGCCGCAAGACCCAGCGCCACCGTCCCATCGCCTGAATTACCTTCACATTCCAAGGTCTCCCCTCGGTTATCGACACTCAAGTCTGCGAAGCCTTTCTCCGAGTTCCTTACAGATACCTTCAATCGCCAGCATGACTATCTCCGCATCAGCGTCACGGAACGGTGCAATCTTCGGTGTTTGTACTGCATGCCCGAGGAAGGCATAGATCTATCGCCATCTGCCAAGCTGCTCACATCCCCGGAGATCCTCTATCTATCTTCGCTTTTCGTCTCACAAGGCGTTACCAAGATCCGGTTGACAGGCGGGGAACCGACGGTCCGGAAGGATATTGTACCGTTGATGCAGGACATTGGCAAGCTACGGCAGAATGGACTCCGGGAACTGTGTCTTACAACCAACGGGATCTCATTACATCGGAAGCTAGATCCGATGGTCGAGGCTGGACTGACGGGTGTTAATCTAAGTCTTGACACGCTGGACCCATTCCAATTCCAAATCATGACGCGACGCAAGGGATTCGACGCTGTGATGAAGAGCATCGATCGTATTCTAGAATTGAATAAGGTCGGAGCGGGTATCAAACTAAAGATCAATTGCGTTGTTATGAGGGGTATGAATGACCGTGAGATTCTCCCGTTCGTGGAGTTAGGCCGTGAGAAGCCTATCGAAGTGCGGTTCATCGAGTACATGCCTTTCGATGGGAACAAATGGAACCAGGGCAAGATGTTCCCTTACCAGGAGATGCTGGCTGTTATTCGGGAGAAGTATCCTACTTTTGAGAAAGTGGCGGATCATAAGAATGACACGAGCAAGACATACCGTGTGCCTGGATTTGAGGGACGCGTTGGTTTCATCACGAGTATGACGCACAACTTCTGTGGCACCTGCAATCGACTCCGCATCACGAGTGATGGTAACCTCAAGGTCTGCCTGTTTGGTAACGCCGAGGTGTCCCTGCGCGACATTATTCGCAAAGAGAACGCCGGAAACCCGATTGACTTAGATGCGATGAACGATCTACAACTACTAGAAACTGTCCAATCAGCATCCCGCCTTAGCGATGAAGGCGCCTTAGTGAACGAGCGAGAGCGCGAGATCCTCGATATTATCGGCATGGCCGTGAAACGCAAGAAGGCGAAACACGCTGGCATGGACCAACTGAAGGATATGAAAAACCGGCCTATGATCTTGATTGGTGGGTAGATATGTTCTTTTTTCATGATCGGAAACGTTTTATGACTTGTAAATCATCTCTTGGATCGATATTTTTCTTCTGTTTGGATATGGCGATATTTGATACCATGTACATATGCGACTTATGAATTTGGACATCATTTCTTGGATCATCGGCTGATAAATAAACTAGACAATAAACCGAAACAAAGACCAACCTACTCTTTGACAACCAGAGCTAGCCCTCCCTGGTCAAATATCCCAGTCTACATGCTCTCACATTTACCACCTACTTCCCAAGCTCGTCTCTACCACAGCGGACGCTCTACAGCCGACCCCAAAGACCAAAATCAAAACACTTCTCGCCCATCCCCATCTCTCCCAACAACCTCCGATGCAGACCTCCCACATCTAACCCCATCCAAAACAGTCCACATGACGCAAATCACCGAAAAACCAGAAACAAAACGCCTCGCCACAGCGGCATGTACAGTCTCCTTCTCAAACAAACGACCCTATTCAATCCTGCGCAAAGGCCAAACACACAAAGGCGACGTATTCAGCGTCGCCCGGATCGCCGGCATCATGGCCGCTAAACGCACACCGGACATTGTCCCATTATGTCATCCTGGCATTGGAATTACCGGGGTGGAGGTTAGTGTTGAATTGAATGAGCCAAAGAATATAGACTTCGGTTCTATGAAGATCGTTGCGACAGTTAGTTGCTTTGGCAGGACGGGGGTTGAAATGGAGGCTATGACTGCTACTATGGGGGCGGCTTTGACGGTTTATGATATGCTTAAGGCTGTTGATAAGGGAATGGTTATTGATGCTGTTCGGTTGCTTGAGAAGCAGGGTGGGAAGAGTGGACATTGGATTAGGGAGGAGAGAGTAGAATGAAGAATGAAGTAACGTTATATGAGAAGTAACTATACAATGCAGGTTGGAGCCCTACCCGCCGCCAAGAAACCGTTAGATTGTCTTCACCGTATTTTCCTTTGCTCTTCTTCTTCTTTTTCCTTGGGATTTCTTTTTTCCGTGTTCATTGAAGATATTGGGCATTCGAATCAATTTCATTGTCTTTTCATCTATTCTCGCGCCGCCTGACGTGGTGGCCCCTGACCCTGAAAGAAATTTCTTCGGCCAACCCACATACTCCAGCGGGCTTAGCCTTCAGCCAAGGATTTTCTCAACCCTTCCTATCCACTGTCTAAATAATCGAACAAATGACTTGCTGGGTGTTGGGTATGTTCGAAGACGCCTGGCGCCGTTAGTGGTGTGCGTCGTCACTATTGTGCCTTCACGGCCGGAAACCGCGGGTCGACAATTCTAATATCTCCCAACTGGTTCGGTTCCTGCGTATTTGAGACGAAATGAAACTCCACGCCATGCCTATCCGTACGTGTGTCTATTCATCCATCAGATCCGAAACTAACATGTTCTGCGCAGCTCTCAAATGGAGAAGACGGATTGGACAAGCTATCAAGGCAGTCCTACCTCCCTTGAATTTCCTGACGGTACACTATGTGTACTTCATTGCTACGAGTATTATTGCCAGTGTCATTTTCTATTTGACCGCGACGCCGTGGCGTAGCGTGGCATATATCGATTCACTTTTTCTGTGCGTCAGTGCTATGACTGGTGCTGGTTTGAACACAGTACGTATTTACTCTTCCAGTGCAAAGCTTTTGGGTAGAAACTGATCCTCTTGCAAGGTGGATCTGTCAACACTAAACAGTTTCCAACAAGCAGTCTTGTTTACACTGCTCATGCTAGGTCATGCAATTTTGATCTCACTGACCGTCCTGCTCGTCCGCAAGCACGGATTTGAGGCGAAATTTAAGGGCGTCTCCGATGAACGCGAAAGAGAAAGAACTTCTCGCTGCCAGTCAGTCTTTGAGCTGCAACCTGGGGACGGGGATATCGTCCAGGGGAGTGGAAGTGCAGACAATGAACTGCCAGATGCTGCATGCCAAGGGCCTCAGCGACGGACAAAGACATCCGTGACAGTAACAAATACCCCATGTGAGCCATCACACCGTGACGAGCCATGGATAGACGGAGATCAAGTCACTATCGGAGGAACAACCCACCGACATCACCATCGAGTCTTCCCTATGGCTGGCATAGGCGCCAGGCCGGACCTGCACAACCATCCCCGCGATGCAGTGCCAAATTTACCCCTACCCACAGAGGACTCGGTATCAGGCTTCAAAAGCATCCTCCGCGGGACGCAGAAATACATCGCCTCGAAGGGCTTGGTATCCCGCAACTCCCAATTCCACGACCTCACTGCAGCTGAGCGTGATGAACTAGGCGGAGTGGAATACAAAGCCGTTTCATTTTTGTCGGTTGTTGTATTCCTTTACTTCGTCTTGTTCATCTTGTTCGGTATGATTGGTATGGGTGGCTGGCTAGAAGCTAACCACCCCGATGTGACGCGCTCGAATGGCCTCTCGCCGTTTTGGACGGGCGCTTTCTTTGCTGTGTCTGCTTTTGTGAATAGTGGCATGTCACTGTTGGATGCTAATATGACTGCTTTGCAGTTGAAGTGCGTGATGTCTATCCCAAATTCCTTGTTTAGATAGCTGACTCTTCCTAGTGCCTACCCGCTGTTGACAATGGGCATGCTGATTCTCGCTGGAAATACTCTTTACCCTTGTTTCTTGCGGTTTATCATTTGGGCGATGAGGATGATGCTTCCGGATCAGCCTCAATGGCAGTCGTGGCGAATTACTCTTAATTTTATCTTGAAGCACCCTAGAAGGGTAAGTTGACGTGTCTCGATGATGTTGTCTTGTATTCTGAACACTAAATTGAAATAGGTTTATACGAATCTCTTCCCTGCTCGCCACACTTGGTATCTACTTGGTACAATCATCATCCTGAACGGCATTGACTGGGCGGCATTCGAGCTGCTATCCATTGGAAACAAAGACATCGAGATTCTCCCAACGGAATATCGCATATTAGACGGATTGTTCCAGGCTCTAGGTATGTCCAGCTCACCATTAATCGACGTGAATTGGCCAACTAATCATCGTTATAGCTGTTCGCGCTGGTGGATTCTACGTCGTGACCATTGCCGATCTCCGTCAAGGCCTTCTGGTTCTCTATGGTGAGTTTCTATAGCACATCTAAAAAGAAGATCATACTAACAAAACAGTCCTCATGATGTACGTCTCTGCGTACCCAGTAACCCTAACAATGCGGTATGTCTAAACCCACCTACCCGCACTAATATCTATACAAGTCCAATCTAACATCCACCAGCAACACAAACGTCTACGAAGAACGCTCACTGGGAATCTACGCCCACGACGAAACCCCAGAAACACCAGCCAACACAAGCCGCAGCAACATAGTAATGGACCTAATCCGGCATCAACTCGGACGCCCCGGCCTCTCCGAGACATCGCGCGGATACTTCGTGCACCAGCAAATCCGCTCTCAGCTCAGCCATGACATCTGGTGGATAGCACTGGCAGTATTCTTCATTGCAATTGCCGAGTCGGACCACTACACCTCTAATCCCGTGGCGTTCTCAACGTTCAATATTATTTTCGAGGTTGTTTCTGCTTATGGGTGTGTTGGGGTTAGTCTTGGGTTTCCAGGGATGAATTATTCGTTCTGTGGCGCGTGGCATACTATTAGCAAGTTGATTCTTGCCGCTGTTGCTTTGAGAGGTAGGCATCGGGGTTTGCCTGTCGCTATTGATAAGGCTATTATGCTGCCTAGTGAGTCTTTGGCTTGGGCTGAGGAAGAGGATGCTGTTTTGAGGAGGGAGAGGGCTAGGGCTGGGCCTGTTGGGTCAGTTTAGTTACATCTTGCATTCTGATTCCCCTATTTTTCCTTGTTTTAGACTATAGAGTAGATTTATGAGATATGATATGACATGGATGGATTAAGAGAAATGATTCTTTTGTAGGATTGAGTTACTACCCAGACTGTATCCTGGTGACTAAAGTCGACATATGCAAATAAACCGTTGAGACAAGGAGATATACAAAGAAAACATCAGGAGTCTACTCATCCTCCATCTCCACCTCGTCTTCACTTTCTTCTTCGCCCTCGATCTCGGGCTCCTCCTCGCTTTCCCATTCCTCTTCTTCCTCATCCTCGCTGCCGGAATCGCTGCCAACGCCACCCATCACCTCGTCATCACCACCGTTCTTCTTCGCCTCTTCTCTCCGCTTCTCCTCCTCGCGACGACCCTCTTCGAGGATAGCAGCGCGCTCCTCGCGAAGCTTGCGCTGTGTCTTGACGAAGGCACCGAGAGGTGTGGTCTCCCAGTCAACGTCCTTGAGGAAAGAGTCAACCTCAGTGCGGTTACGGGGAGCGTAGGAGACTGTCAGACGGCGCTCCTCGATCCAGCGGGCGTTGGCCTCGACCTTCTGCACGAGAAGCAAAATCATCTGGTTGATCTTGGCGTTCTTGTTTCCGCCAGAGCGGGCAGAGACCTGCTTCAGCCAGCGCTTGAGGGAGACAACGACGGGTACGGACAATTCCGGGAATGCGATGTGCTTGGACCACAGGACGAAGAACTCGGAGAGGAGCTCGGCGACCTGCTCACCAACGCCATCTTGGTAGGTGCGCGAGCGAAGATAGGACTTTGGCGCGCGGATGGCTGTGTTGAATTCCAGGGGCTTAAGGGTGCTAGATCTGGGGTGCTTGCGCATCTCCGCCGATGTCAGGACCTCCAGGAGTGAGGATGCAAGCGGGATGTAGGTGCCGGTGGCACGGGAGATACGGAGCAGGGCGCGCGTCAACTGGAAGCGCAGGGGGAAGTACTGGGCGGTGGGAATGAGGCGCATGGCACCCAGGGTGATTTGCACAACGGGGTAGATGAGGGGACGCAGAGCGGATTGCTTGCCAGATTGAGCCTCCACGAGACCATCACAGTGCTGGGAAAGCACACGGGACCAGAAGTCCAGCGAGTGCACGTATTGCCAGTTGTAGATGGTCTTGTAGGACTCCTTGGAGGTGTTGGTGATGCTGGAACGCAAGTGCATGGCCAGCTGGCGGATGAAGGAGAATCCGGTAGTGTATGAGACGTTCTGGTCAATGCCCCAGATCTCGGCGGCGGAGTTCTTCATCAAGTTCACGCCGGCGAGTGTGTGCACAGTCGTGTTGCGACTGCCCTTGACAACACCCTCGTAGGTGGCCTTGAGCACGCTTTCCCGAATACCAGCATCTCCCAGAACCATAAGACGGCGCAGCAGCAGGAAGCCAGTAATACGGGTAGCGTCGTTGGTGGCGACATCTGCCCAGATACCGACAACGGTCTTGACGAGCGTCTTCAGCACCTTGCGGAATTGAAGGAGGTAGGGCAGCATGGGCTCAATTGACGAAAGGGTCAGCTTGAGAGTCGATGCATCAGACAAGTTGATCAAAAGCTGATGAACCGAGGATGTGTGAGATTTGATCAGAGGCGTAAGGGTCTTGAACTTCTTCGAGTCCAATGAGACACGGATCTTGCCTCCAGCGGTCTCCTTGACGGGGAGGTGGTGGGCCAGGACCTTGGGAACGGTATTAAGGGCAGTGACAAGAACCTGGTGGTAGACGTTCTTGTCGGAGATAGTGTACTTCTGCTCTGGGGCCTCGGCATCGTTGACGTGAGCAGCCGCACGGAAAGCGAGCACAACCTGACGCATAGCACGGATCGAGTTCTGCTCCTCCATCAACTTGTGCCACTTCTTAACGGTCTGGATTGTCAGAGTGGTGCTCTCGGGCTCCACCTCCTCCTGTTCCTTCTTCGCCTTCTTCTTTTTCTTCTTCGCGGGTTCCTCGTCTTCAGGCTCATCGCTTTCACTCAGAGCGTCGACTTCTGACAGATCACCTTGCTCGCCGAAATCGAGTAGTTCCGCATCGTTCTCCTTCAGGTATTTGTAGAACTCGGGGTCCTTGTCCTTCAATGACTCCAATTGATCCTTGTGTTCGTCGTATGCGTCGACACTGCTTGCATCTTCTTCGTCATTGTCGTCCTCCTCGGGAGCCTCTTCGGCCTGTGCCTTGTCTTCTGAGCGCTTGCGCTTGCCGATCTTGGGGGTGACATCCTTCTTGGACTTCTTGCCATTTGCCTCAGGAATTTCGAAGCCACCGGCGAAGAAATCGTCGACGTTCATTTCGGCGAAAGCATTCTGTTTCTTCGCTTCCTCGGGGCTGATCTCATTGGCCTCCTCGGCTTCGGCGCGTTTTGTAGCATTTTTTTCTTTGCGCTTGTCGTTCAACTGGTGTCTTTGCTTCACCTTGGCGTGGGACTTGCGGCGTTCGATAACATCTTTAAGATGATTCTTCTCGAACTTCTTCGTAGACTTCTTGGCTCCGGCCATTGTGAGGTGTGCAGAAAAGAGTCTGCAGTATAGCTTGGTGCTGGAAATGGCCGTTTGACAAAAAAAAATTTGGGGAGAAAATCAGCGGCACCGCCTTCCCCACCGCCTTTGCTTCGGGCGATAACAGCTCCAGCTGAGTTGCAAGTTGCAAGTTACATACGACATCCACGATTCACGATTTTGATGATATTTTAGAATTGTACACAGCATGTATTCTCAGCGCCCACTTTCTTATGCTCCCACGCCATACAGCTACACACCCAACCCCGCCCGGTCGGCCTCGATCAACCTTGACGAAGTATGGATCCGTCTCCGCATTGATAGACAAATTGACTTACAATTGTTCCAGGAGGTCAAACTAGCATCCAGTTCAGTTGAACGCGACTTGTACGAATCCCTCGCCGAAATATACAGCATCATCGTCACCCTCGACGGACTCGAGAAGGCATACATCAAGGATGTGGTCACCGAGGCAGAATACACGGAGACATGCACTCGGTTATTGAAGCAATACAAGTCCAGTCTCGGAGACGAGACTGTATCGCGGGAGTTTGTCGACCTGGAAACGTTCAAGCGGACGTGGGGTGTGAGTGTGCATTATTTACCCCGCCGACATCGCTGACGCTATACATACAGTTGGAATGCCCGAGGGCTACAGAGCGATTGCGCATTGGTCTTCCTGCTACGGTTGAACAGGCTTCTCACGGTGCGCCTGCTCCTAGTATGGCTGCGGCTGCAGGACCGGCTGGGGCATCGGGTAGCCTTATTCTGGCGGCAACTGAGAACTTCATTACATTCCTCGATGCGTTGAAACTCAACATGGTTTCAAAAGATGCACTACATCCTCTCTTGTCGGAAGTCATTCAGTCTGTGAACAAGGTAACAGATGGGGACTTTGAGGATCGCGGCAAGATTATTCAATGGTTAATTGCATTGAATCAGATGAGAGCCACTGAGGAATTAAGTGAGGATCAAGCGCGAGAACTTGCATTTGATATTGAGCAGGCATATCAGGGATTCAAGGCGACGTTGAATTGATATCTATCGGCGGGCGTTCGTGGAAGTCCTATCTTTTTGTTTTTTTCGAATATTGATCACGTCTATGAATATACCCATTTGCTTCTTGGATTCTGTTCTTCTGTTTTACTCCTGAATTTCTATTCATTGGCTTGTCTGTTCTCTTGTATCTGTTGACAATTATAGATTTCTGCCTGACAAGTTAGGCGAAAAGGGGTGCCGCGGAATCTCCAAACCAGCCTTTCCTCTTTGGGAATTTTTTTTTATTTTCTTTTCCGCGTGGCGGTTCACGATCCCCGGAAGTCGAGACAGATTGTTGCATTTTAATTTCTCACAGCACACAGCAATTCACCAATATGATCAGTGCCACGGCCGACGAGCCACTTCACGGTTGGTCCCCCGATCTACACTACACTCTTGGTCCAGTCGGTCCACAAAAGATAATGGAACTGATAAGCCAGTGCTCGATCTCCCGCAACTCTACGAGAAGCCTTCCGGCACCGATCTTGTGAAAGCGCTGGCTCTGCTGAGTCTGCAGCCACGCACATTCGGCACCAGCGCTGATGTCGTCAAGGGCCCGGCCGTCCAGCCCGCTGGCGTGACTCGGTATCTCACATCCATCATCTCGAGCCCGTTGGCATGGCTCGAGACCGATGAACTCCGCGAGGCAATCTGGGACGCGGCCGCTGCACGACTCAGTGAGCGCTCTGGCCGAGCTGGTATGCGTTCTCTCGCCTTTCCTGCTGTGTTATCTCGCTGACTGACTCTTTGCAGCAATGCCAGCTATGTCTCGCATCTTCAATGTGCCTACCTCCTCCGGCGAGGAGTACACTCTGACACTCCACGAACCATCACTGACGGCTGATAACCTCGGCATGAAGACCTGGGTGTCATCCTACCTTCTCTCCCGCCGGCTCCATAACCTCCTCGAATCGCCCCCGCAGCTGGTCCCTACCGCCTCGACTGACCCCTCCACATCCAAGACTGAGACTCCTCTGCGGGCACTTGAACTTGGCGCTGGCACTGGGTTGGTCGGGCTCTCCTTTGCCGCTCTCCAGGGTAAATCGGCCACCATCCACCTTACTGACCTGCCCGAGATCGTCCCGAACCTCGCCCACAACGCTGCCTTGAACGTAGAGCTTCTCAACCGGACAGGGGCGACTGTGACCACCGGCGTACTCGACTGGTCGGTCACGCCGTCGCCCTTGCCATCGGCGGAAGAGCGATTCGACGTGATTCTCGCGGCTGACCCGCTGTATTCTCCCAGTCATCCGAAGTTGCTGGTTGATACCATTGCGCCTTGGCTTAGCCATGGGCGTGATGCGCGAGTCGTGACGGAGATGCCTTTGCGGGATGCATATCTGCCACAGGTGCAGGAGTTCCGGCGGCGAATGGGTGAGTTGGGCCTTGCCGTCGTTGAGGAGGGTGAAGAGGTTGGATATGATGACTGGGAGAGCGCGGATGGAGGCGCCCTGGCCGTCAAGTGCTGGTGGTCCATTTGGGGATGGACTGAAAAGGTATAGAGGAATGGGCTGCCAGGTTTTTGTGTCCCGGTCCGGGTCGGGCATGATCAAACGACATCACGAATAATAAACGATACACGATAGATTTAGCATAAGAATTGTAGAATTTGGTTAGCAATGCATTGGTTCAAAGTTGAAACGTTCGAGAAACAGTAGTCAGTAAAATTTAAAGCGAAAAAATGCGCAAATGCTTTAGCTGAAGATGGGATCTTTGAATAGAAACACAGAATGAGGTTGAACTAAATGAGGAACATCAAGCCCCATCACGTGGTGATGACGTCGGTGTTCAGCGGACCATGGGTGTTCTCTCGACTGTCGAATAACTCACAACCTGAAACTGGCAAAGATGAATTCTGTTCAAGAATCAGACATATTCTACACCTATCCAGTCGGTCTCACACATTCAAGCCTTGTCCATTCCATACTAATCCACCAGAAGACCTAAAGCCTGACCAAAACGCCACCGGAACAAACCACTAAACATTCCAGATCCCAAATCCCAAGCTGGAATGCATATCCAACCAACCTAATGACCTGCGCAGCCTAAGCGGTCTACTATCATACCCATCCACCGACTGAAATTCATTCCTTCGTCTTGAACAACAGCTATCCAGCTATCTAGCTATCCAACATCCCTCACCCCACTACCCCAGCGCGTACTCCACCAAGAACGTGAAAATGGTCATTGGACTCTTAGCCATAACGGCCATCCCGACAGTGACGGGTATATCCCTCGCGTCCAGCGAACAGCGCAAAGCAAACCAGCGCAAAGAAGATAACAGGCGCATGATGAAGTTCAACATCCAAGCTGAATGCGACGGCGATACAGATGATGATCGCGAGTTGAATGGGATGAGTGTTGTTGTTAGGAATGAGAAGGTAAGATTAAGTCATATTTCGACACTCGGATAAAGACAGAGACAGTACCTAACCAACTACAGGTCTACCTGGCAGACCCAAACCCATCTAACCGCTCCCCACCAGCCTTCACAGCTCTAGCCTTCTACATCGAATACCCGGAACTAGATGAAACAAAACATCTAGACCGTGGTCTTGGACTTCCAACATATGTACAGGAAGATCCACCGCTGCTCAATTGGATCTATGCTGATAATGAGACGTACGAGCTGCGCTATGGGAATCGGTCACAGAGTGTGGAGCATGTGGTTGGGCCGTGGGACTGGTGTAAAGATGAGAGGATTATTTCGCTGGAGAAGAAGAAGAAGGCATTTTACGCGGTTGAGGAGAAGGAGGGGGAATGGGCGCTTTATTTTGATCGCGATGGGGATGAGTTGGAGAGGGTGTTGGAGGAGCAGGGGTTGTTGGATTGTGCTTTTGTGCCTGTTACTTTGGTTAGGAGGATTGTTGAGGAGAAGCCTCCTCCTGCTCAGTCTCAGTCTCAACCTCAGGGAGAAGGACAGGGTCAGGGACAGGGACAAAATGGAAAGGCTGGGCAGAAATGAGATATACGACTGTTAGTATATATTATATAGCCATGACTTGATGTATTTATGATATGAACATGACTCGATTATGGAATAGTAGCGTACTGTACAAAACACCAAGCCTAATCATCCAACCCAGCCCAACTACCGGCATCACTCACATTGCCACCATCACCAGCAGCAGCCTTCCGCTGCCGACTAGCAGCAATAGCACCCTTCTTGCGATTCTCCATGCGCCGCTCAAATCCACTCTTCGTACTAATCCTCATACCACGCGCACTCTTCCCACCTTCCTTCTCCTTATCCGACAATCGGGGAGCCTGGCGCGCCTTGACACCATGCTTCTTGAGATCCTTCTTGCTGTTCTTGCTGAGGTTGGGCAGGGCGTCGAGGAGCCATTTCTGGATGGATTTGTCGCCCTCGCCGCCACGGAGCTTTTCGCTTACATCGATTATGTTCGCAATGCTCTTCACGTAGGGGATGTCTTCTTTTGTGTAGTATGTCACGGCGATGCCGCCCTCGCGTCCTGCTCGTCCTGTTCGTCCGACGCGGTGGACGTAGACCGCAGCTGAGTTCGGGATATCGTAGTTTACTACGCCGTTTATGCCGCGGAAGTCGACGCCGCGCGCGAGTAGATCTGTTGTCACTAGGATCCAGATCTCGCCTTTGCGGAAGTCGCGCATGATTTCGGATCGTTGGCCGTCGGATAGGTCGGAGTGGAGGACTGCGATTCTTGACGATCCTCCTGCTTCGGCGGGGATGTCATATTTGAGTTCGGAGTGCAGGGCGATGGCACGGGGGATGGTCTGGGTGAAAATGAGGAAGGGGGGTCGGAGGCGGATGTCTGATGCTGAGGCAGCTGTGGGGCGAAGGAGTTGGCGGAGTCCGAGCAGTTTACCCTGCTCTGTTGCCGCGTAGATGAGTTTGTGTTCAATATTGGGGATGGCAGAGTCCTTCAAGCCCACGACCAAACGGAGTAGCGCATGCGACTCGCTTGGCTTGAGTCCGAGGTCTTCTTGACGCTCTTTGATTGTCGACTTGGTGAGATCTTCAATGTTGGATCCCATCGTAGCTGACCATAGTCCGACTCGCATTTCAGGGTGCGTGCATGATTTCCAGATATCCAATGTCTGTTCCCGGAACAAGGGGTCCAAGAGAACATCCGCTTCGTCCATAACGAGGCTCCGCACTAGAGGCAGGGTTGCCATAGTCTTTGTCCGATTCGCCGAGAGGGCATTAACCAGCATCAAGGGCGTGGTAACAAGGATATCACTCTTGGTCAGTGGGATATTGGCTCGGTCTTTTGTTGGCTTGTTATCGGCATCTTCTTCGTCGGATCCCGATGACGCATCACTCTCTTCGAGGACATCCGCATTGCCTTCGTCGCTCACGCGCATTCCCTTTCTCATCAGCGTGATCTTCACGCCGGTTCCAGCGACCAGCTTCCGGCCCTCGTTGACGATCTGGCTTGCAAGTTCCTTGGTAGGCGCCACAACCACTGACAGTATTCCGTGCTCTTCGGGGCTTGAGTGGTGGTGTCGCACAATTTTGTTGATCACAGGAATCAAAAATGACAGTGTCTTACCACTGCCAGTAGGAGCCACAATCAGAAGATCCGGCTCAGAAGCCTCCCCAAGAAGCAAAGGAAGAGTACCGAGTTGAACCTCTGTAGGCACGGTAAACCCTTGATCCGCAACGTTCTCTGCGAGACGTGAGGAGATCTTATATTTGGACCGAAGCTCCTTGAAAGAAAGCAAAGGCTCTGGGAAAATGCGTCTGGCGCGCTTCTGCTCTTTCTTACTAAGAGCTGGAGCTTCTTCCTTCTTGGACTTCTTTTTCTTCTTGGATTCCTTGGTGGATGCCGGCTGGGGCTGGATCTCATCCAAGTCACGCAAGTCAGTCACCTTGATTTTGTGTGAGTTCAAGATCGTGCGACGCTGCACGTCGTCCATGGAGTCGTCATCAGATGCGACATCTTCCGACGCTTTTTCAGCGTCGCCTTCAGTCGCAGCAGCGGTTTCCGTCACGCTGGTTGCAGGGCGTTTGTTTGAATTGAAAAAGTCCAGCTCAGGCACTTCATCTTCATCCTGCTGAGCAGCAGTGTTCCTCTTTCTTTTTTTGCCGCTCTTGGCAGCCTCGAGCCTGTCGGCGTCGGCGGTGCGGAAAAGCTGTGGGTTGGCTGCTTTCCCGGTTGACGGCAGAGGAGAAGAGTCTGCTCTTGAAGCAGCATGCTTCAATTTTGTTGACCGAGTCAACAACTTGAATGCATCCATATTTTCCGTGGTGAGTTGAAAGTGTCGACTTTTGATATTTCACGAAGAAAAAAAGTGGTCCGCCGCTTTCATCCCGGGCCAATCAGATGTCATCCACGACGAGCATAGTATTGGATATGAAACCACAACATCATGAGAACAGCCTGAGGCGTGAGAATCCAAAAGTGATAGAGGAATAAGAGCAGGGCCATGAACTGCATCACATCGAGCTCCCACATGCCGCTTAATCCGAGCCAGGTACTTGGAAGCAAAGATGTCTGTAAAAAGTACTGCATAAAGAGGCTAATAATAAGAGACCAAGATACTCAGAGGAAGACAGACTTGGAAAGAAAGGACTTGGAAAGAAACAGTCTCCGTAAGTGAAAACGGCAATGGCGAGTGAGCTCACTAGACATGCACAGCTACATAAACCTACACAGCTACAAAGACTCGCGCTTCTCGACACAGGGAAAGTTCACAGAAGAACCTCATTTATACAACTCGTCACAAATGGCAATTGTTTCTATCTCAGACAACAGTTTATATTCCATCGTCTATCATACAAAGTAACAAAGGGAAATAAGGAAAGGACGATTCTCGACCCCTTAGTGGGCGTGCGCAACCTCACCCCGGTAACCAACAATGTTCATGCGACCGATAATCTCACCAACGGTGAAGAAGCCAATAACCTCAGCGGCGGTGACACCAGCAAAGGCAAGCTCCTTGGGGCTGGCGTTGCGGACACGGGCGAGGATGCTCGAGGGCGAGGGGAGGTTCTTGAGGGCGGCGGGGTTGTTGATGAAGGGCTGGAAGTAGGACTGGAAGGTGGCCAAGTTGCTAGACATTTGTTAGTCGAGTTGGGAGTGATTGCAATCAGGGCCGACTTACGGAGGAGCCATGTTCTGGCCACGGAAAACCAGTTTGCCGAGCTCAAGGCCGACCTTGGAGTAGTAGAGAGTCGGGGGGATCATGGCTGGATAGAGGTTAGCTGTGCACTAATGTGATTGTAGATTGTAGATTGTAGTTGATCCCGGAATCGAATGTGAACAAGGAGGTCGGGTGGGTGGCACGACTCCAGCCGGGTCAATCGGAGGAGGGCGATATTCTCATCCGGTGATAACCCGAGACCGGACACTCCATTGTAGACACCAAAATCGGGAAGACGGTTCTCCCTTACCATCGACGAAAGAGACGACCTTGCCGGCGGGACCACCGATCTTGCGCAGGGCACCAGCGGCGTTGGAGAGGGCAGGGCCAGCGGAAGCAGAGACCTTGGAGAGACCCTCTGAGGCCTTGGAGGCCGCTGAGGAAGCAGTCTCACCAGCCTTGGAGGCAGCCTCCGAGGTGGATGAGGCATGTCTGACGGCGGTTCTCCGGGTCAGGAACTGCGATTGCCGCAGGACGGCACGGGTGACGGGCATTTTGAAGGGAGAAAAGGAGTGGACGAAAGGAATCAAGCGAAAGACACAATCGCTAATGAAGCAGTATGGTCCAATGGTCCTAAGTCTCGCGCAACGGCAGAACCAGAATCTGCGGATTTGTCGCTCGGGAACTTCAGGGAATTCGGTCACGTGAGCCCCATCAGCCGTAAACAGTCTTTATATGCATAAGTTGGTTAATAGTTGATTGATATTTAGTTGATAATCTGATATTATTCGATCAAATGGGCTAGAAATCTTAGCTTTAGTATGTTTGATGGTCGCTATGAATGAGTGCAGTATGTGTACTCTATACCAAGCACTGTACATCGTACCTGCAGGCCACTAGGACCTTGGAACTCTAGCAGCCCAACAAAAATATTCTTGATTTATGCATCTCTTACAAGCAAGAGTAACATCTGTATTTCGTTTGTGCTTAGTTATGGTGTTGCCTATTCAGTCACTCTAGAGTGGTGACGAACTATATATATCAACCACCACCCATTTCAGGGTGTATTGATCACTTTGATTTTCAATCACTTCTTGTTTTCTAGTAAAACATGCAACCCGAAATCTCAAGTCATGAGACCCTTTTGGTATTAAATTTACCCTATTAGGCTTTGCAATGCAGACTAATACTGTAAGGCTGCCGGGTGTAACTACCCACAGGGTGGCACTACGGTGGCAACCTGATGAACTCCGACGCATTCGTTAATAGTCATGCATTTTGACCAGGTTGGAGACATCTAGGTCTATACTGCGTATGTTGTACATCTTACCGGTCAAATGATAGTTCGTGTTGCACAGTCACGATAGAACATCATGCTACCTTGGTTACAGAGTAGCAGATCAAGCATCTATAGTGACAGGACAGACACCTTGTAATTATAGCAACTAAGCAACAAAGTTAACACAAAGAAATGATAAAATATAAGAATAAAGCCGGATATTAGAAGCCTGAGGCATCAATTTGCACCGTTTGCTCCGGAAAAAGGACCAAACGCCTCGCATCTTTTCTCCACAAAACTCCATCAACCAGGACGCTGCAATTCCGCCGGAGAATTGCCGCTCTCGGGTGACAGTGAGATTGACTATCGGCATGTCTACAGGGTCACAAGATGAAGCATTCTATCCTATCTATACAATGTGGAATATGCAATGTTAATCCGGGCTGGGAAAGTCGAAACCGAAGCCATTGACCAGACCAACAATTAACCGATAGCCGATCAACATTCGGCCCGGGGGACACAGAGTTAGCGGGCTTCGATTGCCAGATTGGGTGAAACTGAGCATTTGACCCCCGCGCGGTTAAATCGCAGGCCCCTCCCCTCCACTTTTTACTCCATGG